CTTGTACTTTTTATGTAAATGCCCACAATGTGGTTCTTCCTATTGAAATGTGGTCTTCAAAGCATTTGATATTCTCTGGGGCGGAAACACCACTAATGGCACCTCTTTCACATTGTTCTCAAAATTTCACAAGATTCTTTGAGGTTCGATAATGTGTTTCACGCTGATGGGCTTGTCAGAAAACACAACAATAGCTTTGGGTGAAAGAATCTCATGTGTTTTTGATTATGTGCTGCCTGGTCCATTGTTTACGCTGCGAGCAGAGAAACACACTGAGTCCAGCTGTTGTGGAATATTTCTGCAGCTGTAACCATGCACCATGCCGTCCCACAGGTTGCACAGCGGGGGGCATACGTGACTGATTTCTTGCCTTTTCCATCAACCTATCCTACATTTAGAAGTCAAAATGTCAAAAGGTTATAAAATTATATTTTTGAGGGATTTCTTTTTTGTAAAGCTAAACTGAAATGATAGTGACATTAAGTTTTAAGGAACATCCCATAGAACTGTCAATATGCTTTCATGTTTGGCTTAAAGAAAACGGAAACTGGATGCTTGTGAATGCTGAAATTTAAAGAAGCTCAATTTATTGATACCAACCATTGGAGGCAAGCGTCAACCTCACAATCCTGCAAGGACAAACAGAAATAGATCATGAATGGATAAATTAAGAGTGAAGCTTAAAGATTTGTCTCCTATTTTGCATGCACAAATAGTGCTTATTCATAGACATATGCATAAACCATAAATTTAATGAAAGGGAATGAGTTAGCATGTATTAGGTTGGCTTCAACCCCTCCTTGTTAATGATATGTGGATGTTCCTTGAGGCTCCCTAAAAGTGGCTCCATGTTTACATGTTTCCTCCACCTGCCAGCCAAGGTCTCAGTCAACTTAGCTGCATTCTGTCCATTTTCATCAGGCTGCCATTTGATCTAGCGCAGTTGAACTCGAGACCTCTGATCGGGCTGCAGTATCAAGGTCAACAGCAACCTGAACCATTAAGAAGGGAGGGTGAAAACTTGCCAGATGATGACAGAGCAACCATTTATCACAGTCACAGAAACATCTGATAATGGGAAGAAGGAAGACTGATTTTGCTTGTGGTTCTCTGAAGCTCTTTAAGTCTGCTGTGGTCTACAGATGTGGAGTCTGACTGTGAAGTTAATCACTCACACACTCAAACATCTCAACAAGACTTCACAAAAATACAATAGTAAAACCCCCCTGCTACTGAAAGGTTTGCACCTTTCAGAAGCAGGGGGCACAGTGATGCATATGTGCCTATTTCTTTTAAATAAAAAGTGAACAAATGTGAATAATTACTTGCTCACCAGCAGTTTCCTCTGTCTAAAATCTTTTACACAGAGACGCATACACACAGATGTAGCCAATTTTGAGTCAAGCTGATGCAATCTCTAACTTAACGACAAAGTCATACATCTCAAGTCATATTCAATGGAGTAAAATGTTATTTAAATGCTTATTTATTGCGGTAACTCATTTCAGTAACTGAAACACTACATAGAAATGTGGGCTTAAAAATTGTATTTGGTACATAAATAAAGGCTACTGTTTTTAAAAGTTACCTTTAATCTGATGAACAAGATTAAGATGCATAATCAGATTTTTTGAATATGACCTCAGTTTCGGTCCATAACTGCTATATCTTTGAAATCCACTAGGTGTCAGCATTCAAAAGCTGTATGAGTACACACTGATTCAAAGATTAATGTTAGTCTTGAATGAAATATTTGTCTATTCAATTTGTAGAATGAACGTAAATATTTATGGAAATAATTCAGAAAGTATTTATGTGCATACAGGGTGGATAAGTGTTAGTAACATTTCCATTATGCTAATATTGCAAAAAAAAAGTGATAAGTGAAACAAATACATTTATTAAAAGAAGCTTTTTGAGAAATAAATGAACAGAAATGGTCCAACCATAATGGAACTGTAATAAAACAAGCAGCTCTGATCCTCTTTTTGGAGAACCTTTGAGGATTCCTTTGTAAAGTCAGCAAGAATTTTAACCCAATGATACAAAATTGTTTTACAAACAATCAATATTGTCAAAATTTTTTGCTTTTCTCACCATTTTCTCAACTAAAAAACATGTATCAATGTTGTTGCTGCTAGGTTTATTTATTTTTAAGTGCTGTTGTTTTTTTTTTTTTATTTTTTTATTTTTTTTACAACATTTCTAAAATTCCTACATTTCTCATTTTCGTTTTTGGTATTTGGGTTAATTTCTGATGAAAATCCCCGAACTTTGAGAACAACTGGTTTAGATCAAGGAGGGCTGGAAACAAATAGATTCTACAGTTGTCAGATGATTATTTTTGTTGGACTATCACATAAAACCTCAGAAAAATTTATAATTTTTGGGTTTGACAAAATGTAAATAAAATCAAATGGCAAAGATTTAGTTTGGTTTGGACAAACTTCCAAACACATTTTTATATCTTGTCTTTTTCTCATGGCAGTGAAACAAACACACACAAAACTTAAGACTGTTGGGAGAAGTCTGACATGCAATTTTATGCATTACAACAGAGAACATCATGTTCCCCCCTCTCTTGTACAGAAATACCCTGCTGTCTCTTCCGATGAAAGCAGGTATCCACTGACAGTCAGAACATGTCAGGCTTTCTAAACAGAATTGAAACAAAGGAGTGAGTCACTCATATGCCATACAGAGTCAAAGATGTTATTAAAGCTGTGAAACTGCAGATTTGCAAACAATGGATGTTCAAAAATAGTGATAGTTTTCCCATAGTTGGCACAATTTTCCGCCAAACTATATTTTTTTTCCTACCATGTTGTGCATTTTGAGTTACTGAGTAAATACTTGAAATTCAGGGAGATGATAAACAAGTTGTGGATCAGTATAGCTAATGTGGATGATGTGGTGGCCTTAGATACAGACTGCTCTCTTGATTTGAACCTGATACCTGGATGTTGGATGATGTTTATTTTCTTGAGTCCAACAGACTAAATGTAGCCTTTAGGTTTTTTTTTCAAAAAAAACATTTTTTAATCCCAAGACAGAACTTCTGAGCGACAGAATAACTTTTTCACATTTTGGATTTATGATATTTGTGGCTTTCATTTAGGCACACAAAACAACTGCCAAAGGATGCGCTACATTACATTTTTAATAAGAAAACTTTCTTGTTTTTTTCTTTGATGTTTTCAGTGAAAAGCTTTTATGTTCATCCTCAGAGAAAATAACAGTGATCTGAAATGATTGTAGCAGCAGCCCCACTGCAGGGCCACACAGACAAAAGACTGCAGAGGCATCAGCAACATCTCATTTAGTTTGTCTCCCACAGAAGAGTGGGAACATCTGAGGAGTCTAAACAGGGAGGAATGCTAGTGTCAAATGCTGTACAGCCTCATGCCAAGACCACAGCAATTTTGTGTAATGATCCATGGATAGGGAGGCGCTCATTAGTGAGAACACGTTTGATATAACTAAATATGGTTTCGTCAGTTATTAAATGAAATTGCACCACTCGTGTTGGCAGCCTGGAGTAGCTCTGTTAAGTAAGTTCTGACTGTTTACTTTTGTAGACTTCATCTCTTAGTTTTTTTGGTTGAAGCATTGGATGTTTGGATGTTTCTTCTGGTTTTGGATGTTGTGCAGCTGGACAGTTTTTTTAAACTGTGTACCCATGCCAATGATGCATTGTTTTTACTACAGAGAACAGCTGATTATCATCCCAAAAGCAAATGAGATGGATTAGCAGTGTTTGCCAATAACTTACAGTGTCATCCAGAACATGTTATCTCAGCTGACCAAATATTTAGTTGTTAGCAGTCATGTCATATTCTTCAGTCAGAGGCTTATTCATATTTGTGGCAATACTGACCGCTACCCAAGATCCTCATACCATCACCATAAACAGCAAATTTTTAAATCTACTTGGCTCATATGTGTCATGAAACAAAATTTAATTTTCTTTTGGGATTAATAAAGTAATTTAATTGGATATGGAAATTTGAAGACACAAATGCGAGGGTGTAATGTAACAGGACATCATGGATGTGCAGCACACAAATCTGCAGCTGCTGTATGATACTGTCATGTAAATATAACTTTCTAAGACATGTTTCTGACTCCTTGTTAAATTTCTGGCAGGAATAATGAAGGAAGTTCTGAAGGGTCAAACTGAGTATTAGCAAGGTGTAAAGTGGACAATGAGTTTACATGAAATGACAATAAATTAGTAACTTGTTACTTTTGCTTTCTTGTAAATTACATTTATTTAATTTCAACAAAATTAAACACCACCATACTAACCTAGATAATAACAGGATGTTTGAGTATCTCTTGACAGGCAGAAAGTATAGAGAAAATGTCCATCGCTTTCAAATTTACCTCTTTAGCAATCATCTAAAATATTACATAGTGTGAATACAAATTACTTCCTAAGTTTTTAAACAGCTGTCATTTGGTCACAAAATTTGAGATAAAGGATTTCATTAAAAAGAACCGAGCATCATCTCTCTTCCAATCCATCTTCAAATGGATAGAGAGGTGGTTCTGCTGACACCTGATGGCCCACTGCAGTACTGACATATAAAAATACGTCCTTCCTTAAGATTTTTTAAAAATCTTTGTAATAAGCAATCTGGGATCAACTTGTGTTTTCTGTTTGAGGGAATTTGCTATTTTATGTTTGCTGTAATATTTTGTTTTGCTGTTCATATTTAAGAAACAAATCCAATCAATGTCAGACATTTTGGCTTTCAGTGAGCCTTTCTTCAGCGTAAAATATTTAACCTGTAGATACTTGCAGAGATCTCCATGTGTTGCGTAATAATATATCTTTAATTATGGTTATGGATGTCCCGGAGTTCTTAGAGCTGCTCTACTTTATTAAGAAGTTGGCCTATATAAGTGTTACTGCAAGCAACATTTATCTTTAAAATTAAAAGGATTGTCTGCAACCTGGCAGTTCTGACTTTGTGAACTAAGGAATCCAGGTAAAGTAGAATTTTTCTCATTTATTTATTTTTTCCCCCAGGTAAAGAATAAAATGATGAAGAATTAGCAGACATTCCAACTATAACAATGCAATTTTAACAGATCTGTACAGATTGATAGATATGAGTCTGAAAGAGGGACATTGGTACAATTACAGATGAAAGAAAAAAGTCACACACTGTCAAAGATGTAAAATACACACATGCATGTTAGCCTTTTTGTCCAGCAAGCTTTGAAATTTGTAGTTTCTTGGCACAAAATAAAACAGTTCTATAATAGTATGGTTTCACAGTACATCCAAGTTGTTACAATGCTACAGTATTAAGGAATCACAGCGAAGTAGTGTGATGGTGAGATGACTGCTAAATTAGACAAACTTCTTACACATCATTCCCAGTGTGATCAGTGTTTCACCTTCTATAGTCCCATAGATAAATGTGATTCTGCTCCGATTACATTTTACATATAATTTGTCCTACACTGCATCTGACTGGATGGCGTGCCACCGAGTGGTTTCTGTTTGTCCTGGACCGCAGATTTCCCTCCAGTGCTCCTGTCCTACATCTGAAGCATTGCCGCCAATCAGTATGCGCCCCAGAATACTGTTCTTAGTGTAGAGACGGCCCTGCAACAATAAATCCAGAGTCAGTTACTGTTGAGCTTTCATCGATCACGGGTAAATTTAAAGCACACATTTCATTTGTCTGAAACTCAAACCTGCATCACGATGAATTCGAGAGCCAGTGGCAGCTGGGTGATGTCACCAGGTGGAAGGTCAAACAGGAAGGGAGCATTCCAAATGGGGTTTGGCCCACTGGCCATTTTGGTCTCTTTTGTGTCAATTATTTTACCATCCTGATGTAAGTTGATGACAACATAGTGATCTGTTGAAAAAAAAAAGAAAAAAAAAAGGCAATTTTTTTTTTTTTTACTTGCTAGCGACACACACCTCTTTAATTTAACCTTTGAGTTAAATATTTTATTTTCACCTGCCGGTTTGAAGTGACTATCTGGATTACATGATCTAGCGAGAAGCTAGTTCCTCCAAATGTAACTCATCTGTGGACCTGTCACAAAACTTTGCTCATCATTACCATGTGAAGACTTAGAAAACATTTTATCTTTTATTCAGTTGCACATAGAAGTACCTGGTACAAAGTTTGTTAGGGTTTCAACAGTCTACAATGGGTCTTAAATTATTTTTACTTGAATAATGTTTTGTGTGTATTGTTTCAGATGTACTTTTCCTAAGTTGATTTGAGAAAATTGTTAGTTTTTTCTTAGCCCTGCATTCCTCATATACTGAAAAACAAACGAATGCATCTTCTTCGGGCAGTCAAACTGTTTCAACATTGTTTTTCAATGTTAGAAGTTATTTAAAAAGATAAATTAGATTCCATTGTTTCTGTCTATAGTTTTCTTCTACAGTAATCAAATGCAATTATTTATGTTATTATTTGCAGCGAATGTTTATTTACAGAAATCTTCCGTTGCTACACTCACATAATCTAAACAAACTTGTTTATTTCCTCGTGGCTCCGCTTTTGCATATCTCCAACATCACCTGGAATATATAATCACTGTTGATAATCCATTTAAGAAACCTTATCAAATTTACTATAATAGAAAAACACTGTGGCTCTTGTCCATTTGTTCTGAAACATTTTTTCTTTGTACAGATTCTCCTGCATCCTCCAATCTTAACCAGCAGAAAATCAGATGCAGCAAGATATGGCATAGACAAGAGGGGAAATGACTTCTGGGCTGAACAGTTTCTGATTTAATTATGCCACACGCCAAACAAGGAACTGGTATGATGACTGCAGCTGAACCAAGCAGGAGACTGACACACATTCTGACAAATTGTATTGTTCATGTTAGCCTTACAAATAAAGGGAATGAACCCAACTTTAAACTTATAGTGGACTAATGGGATGCAGGCAGATTTAGCTCTAAAGTGAATGTTCCTTGTGACTGTAATTAATGCCAATAACTTGAAACAGAGAGCTGGAGAAAAAATGATGTTGAAGCCTTCCAACCTCAAAAATGTGTAGCTTATAATCAAAGCCAAATCACTAAAATACAATTTTTAAAATTTATACTGCATTGTTTTATCTTTAGAAAGACCTTTGTCACATTTTCTATGAGAAAGAAACTTTTTGGGTGAATGAAAACAATTTTAAATCTAGATTTGTCAAGAGTATAAATAAGTATTAGTTTGGAATAACAACCTCATAAAGCTAAAAGCTACAAAGTCTATTGCTTATGTTTTCAGTAGACTTTGTAGAAGCTGTTAGATATTATACAAAAATGTCAGATTTGATATGTGCATTAAACTGAGCAAGTCAAAAGTTATTTTATTTTAATTCTCTCATTAACCCTCTGATGCGTGAGTGACTAACTATACAGTCTTCTGTGAGTGCGTCTTTTTTGACCCAGGTAACAATTAATCTGCCTTTCAATCTCTCTCTCCATTTTTTCCTCACTGATGAACAAGATCTCGAGATATTTGAACTCCTCTGCTTGGGGCAGAATATCCTATCCAACCCAGAGAAGGCACTCAATTCTTTTCCAGCTCATTTATTAGTGTATTTATTTTTATGGATTTTTATTTTTACTTATTTTAATTGCATGATATCAATAACACGTTTGTTGAGGAATACTTGGAATATGAAGTGATGAAAACTTTTCATTTGAAAGATACTGCAAAAAGATTACCTCACCGCATCAAAAAGGACCCACTTACACATCAGAGGGTTAACCTTCCCTACAAAGAACCTAAGCACTTGGATATTTACACAGTTAAAGTGTCCCGACACATGCATTTTCTTGTTTAGATGTGAAGTGGATCTTTACCTGGTGTTCCTGGGATTCGCGTCAGCTTGGCCAAATTTTCAGCCTTTCGAACCATCACTTTGATTCGCTGAGCCAGGATCTGGTACTGCAGCAAGATGAACAGTTGGCCCAAAGTCCGTGGTACGCAGACTGAGCTTTTCTTGCATCCCAGAGTCTCCTGAGAACTGAAACTCTGAGGACAAGTAATAAGGAAGATCTACAGGTTATAAAAACAAAAATGTTATGGTTCTCGTGTGAGGAAGAACATTATTTTTTTTCTGTACAGATGTGCACTTTATATTCTTTTTAGGACAGAATTTATATTAACAACAAGCAATATCTGATTCAAGGAATAAATAATAAAATCCTCCCATTCTAAGCTTATCTACATGATTAAATTGTGAGCCACTTAAAGCTTATAGTCATATTTTTTTCATTTTTCTTGTTTTCATTTGACTCCCCATCAAAAAATAATAGATGTTTATGTTCTCAGTCACTTTAGATAAAAGCAACTGGTGTGAACTTCTCACTATAATTTCCATCTGATTTTATGTCAACTCTGATCAGCTTGAACTGTGAAAAGTCCAATGAGTCACTTTCTGCTGTCAGATGAATGAACTGAAGGCCAACAGGGACTGCTTGACTGCTTGGTGATTTTATTCAAAAAGTATTTTTCAGCTCACTGCCGCTGTCACTATCATTTCACCTCAGATAATGTGAACAACACCTTTCTAAGTAACAGTTTTAACTCAGCATAGACATGCTTACTTTTCACTGTGAATGTAAATCCACTTAGTGTGTTGATCTCAACAGATTCCTTGTGTTTAAGTAACAAAGAAAGATGATAGCATTACCCTGATGCACATTTGGCACATACGTTGTAGGGTACTTTAACCTGCACATATAAAGAACCAAACAGAGAGCATTATCACTTCAGCCTTTGCAAAGGGGAAGAGTCATGGTGGTGCCTCATAACAACTCCAACTTGCCTCCCTGCGTTAGCCTGGTTTTATTGAAAGCGGAGTGGTGGTCGGTCATAAAACAGAAATTTAAAGATAAGGAGCAGTGGTCCCTCTGAGCCGATTGAAACCGGTGTCTCCAAGAACAGAATTGTCCACCACACCCAGTTTCAGCTTAGAGCAGAGAGTCTAACAACTTATTCATGAGATAATCATTTGCAAAACTGTGACATACATATTACAGCATTTACATAGCTGTCACTAAAATAGTGGCGCAATGACCCAAAAATAAATGCAAGCAATATTATGCAAAGACTGTACTGCTGAAAATCCACTCACCTTAGCATGTGGGATGCTTGAAAATGAATTTGACTGCACATCCTACTTTTAGATAAACAGTTGTCTGCATTATTGGAGGCAGTCAGAGCACTGAAATTTAATTTCCAGAGTGTAAGTTGAATGTGGAAAAAATAAAATAAAATGCAAAGTTTCAAAAGAAATTTTGCATTCATATAATGCAATGCATTGTGATGATCTATCAAATAAAATTCCAATAATCTCTTAGCTGTGTATATGTGGACAGTACATCTCCCTGTATGAAAGCAGGTGTGTTTCTTTGTTTTTTTAGATATATAATTGATTATTTAATTTGAAAAAAAATGCAAAGTTTTTATCTGCTGACTGAGATAAACGTGACATTTACTGTAGATAGTTTGGACACTCACATTAAAAACTGAGCACATGCAAACAATCACAGAACATTAACAATCATTGATTGGCCTCTTCTCAAAATGCCTGTAATCTCAAAACCTTTTATTCCAATAACATGTCAAAACAAGAAATGGCAGATGAATTATTGCCAGTAACCTCACTGGTTACATTACAATGATTAGAAAAGTGATGTAGTAGTTCATATTCAGAATGGGCAGACATCAAAGCTTGAGCCACAGAGCCTTGACCAAATTATACACCACTCTTTCTCTGTTTTCCAGGAGGCAGAGCAACCGTGCTTTTTCTATAGCCAGTCCACATCCACCTGTTTACATTTAGCAGCTGCTCTTACCGAGACTGTGGAAGATGATGCTGTGGAATGGAATCAATAATCTATAACTGGCCATTATATAAAGGGGAAGGGGACAGGAAATGGGCTTTCCCAACAAGAACTGTGGCGTTCGTGAGTGAATACAGACCATTGAAGCCTCAGGCTCACCCCCCACCAAAAGGCTGTTATTAATGCCTTTTGGCAGCATTGGAGCTGAGTCACAGAGAGCACTGTGTGGGCGCTCATCCAATTTGTTTCACTCGGCCTGTTTGTTCTGCAGTCTCTATCAACAAAATCCCCATGACTAACATCTATGGAAAACTGGCTAATGGCATAGCTGATTAGATGTTGGATGTGACCACAGATTAAATATGTTATTTAACAGGGTGCGAGAAAACTTTCCCTATCCATTAACGCAGTTGAGAAGACTTTGCAAAGACCTTGGGAAGACTTTTATTTTATTTCTCTCCAGTGAATCCATGATGCATTCACTGGAACACAAAGTAAACAAAAGCAAGAATCAAATAAAAAACATAGCAGCTCACAAACATATTTGATACATTTGTTAAAATTATAGATTCTTATAGTATGAAAAATATGGCCACAATAAATCACTTTATAAATCATTTTGTTAGGTTATTTCTAATAGTGTGATATTTCTATTGTGCAATTTAGTTGAAAAGAAATATTTTAAAAGGAAAAAAAACAAAAGATTTTTAAACTGTATCTAATTTTGTTTCAGCAGTCTGTCTGTTGTTTTTTTGAGGGCATTAGCATCTTTTTGTTGATTTGTCAGAAAATTAACGGGAATGTCCTCCAAAGTTATTTTTCCCACTGGGAAAGTGGGAGCAACTCTGACCCCAGTTATGACTTGTAAGGTGGATTTTGTGTTTCAGTATGGCCACTCCATGCGTCAACAGTAGTAAGATGTGGTGAAAATGTGTTTATGTTGCAAAACGCACATGCAACTGCAACTCTAAACTGAACAAATTAAAAGTGTTGTTTGTTTATGGAAAGTAAAACTTTAAATTTTGTTTGTCAGAACTACTGCAAACTATATTGATGGGTCTCTCCATGTTGAAATTCCAATTTCTGAAGAAAGCTGTTGCTTCAGATCCGACACCAAACCCAGTTCCATGTTCCCACTTCCCAAGTAACTTGAATGCAGCATATTTTCCTTTCACCTCTCAATAATGCACAATCAGGAAATAAAAAACAGTAAAATATATTGATGTTTGCAATCATACGGTTCAGGAGATATGAAAACTTTTTCAAAGTGAGGTACTGTATCTGTTCTGTGCAACAGAATCAATATATATAAAGTACTTTTTTTCACTTTTGTGAAAGAAAACAACTTTTTGTAACAGTATAGGACTCAGACACATTACAGAGAAAAACGAAATCTATTTTTTGTGTAGTTTCTAGTGCAACTGTCTTAAAACACTTAAAATAAGACATTAACTGATAAGTAACATTTCAAAAAGAAATAGGAACTTGTTTTAAGTCAATAATTCCTCAATATTGATGAAAAAGTACTGAAATAATCTGCCTGTGTAATAAGAAAAAAAGGAGACAGACCACCATTTCTTATCTAAAACATCTTTTCAAGGATGTCGAAGTATTATCGTAGGTTATCAGGTATAATATACTGTATATAGTAAGTAGGTTTATAAAATACAGGAATGTATGTATATTATAGGCGTTGTATAACGAATAAGGCGCTTAGCTTGTTTTAATTACTGACTGAAAACAAGCTAATTTCTTGCTGAAAAATTACTTAAAATTTTGTTTTGTTTTATGTTCAGTGTACTAAGTTTTCCACCTTAAACTAAACCAAAAATACTCAGATTTTGTGTTTTTGCAGTATGTAGGAAACTTGTAATTTTGGTAACACACATTTAAGACAGTTTCTTAAAGCTTTTTTTCTGTGTACCTTTTTCAGCTTGATTTTGCTTGGGATGAGCTGCTTGGCGTGGGTAGTCTTGGAGTCTGGCTCCCACTCAATCTCCTCACAGGGTAACTCCACTTCCCCCAGAGCGGCCTCTCTCAGCCCAGAGAAGTCCCTGCTGTAGACAGCCAGCCTCAGTGTACAGGTGCAGAGCTCCTCCACAGAGCCCACCTGCAGCACAAAGCTCTGGCTGACAAGGTCTGGGCAGAGACTGCGTCGGCGTGGGGCTGTCTGCTGGAGCAAGGGGTGAAGTGGAGGGAGGCTGGCGCGAACAAATACCCCACTGCGTCTTCTTGTGTCCCCAGAAAGCCCCAGGATGTTCACCACTAAGGTGCCAGAGCTGGAGCTAAAGAGCAGGGAAAAGTGCAGAAGAGGAGCCGGTTTGGGTGAGGCAGAGATGGAGTTGGAGCCATACTGAGGGTGACATGGCTCCCCCTGCTGGCTGTTAACGCTGGGAGCACCTGCTGTGAGCCGACTGCTCTCACTGAGAGCATAGCTTTCTCCACTAACAGTTCTGCATCTGCCTATCACCCGGCGGGATTTGGATACAAAGCTGAGCTTGGTGAGGGAGGGCAAGGAAGCCCTGCCATGACTAGCAGCTTTACTGGGAGAGCAGGGCAGAGCAGAAGTACTAAGGCGCCGCATTGGGAAAGTCGCTCTGGAAGATTGCGGCAGCTCAGCTGGTCTAGAGGGGCTGTTGTCGAATGGGAGAGTGCTGAGGTCATCTTCAGACGGAGAAGAGCTACTTTTAGAAGAAGGGCACTCCAACACATTACCATCCAGCTCTTCGTACTGCTGTTTGACAGGTTGAGTACACGGAGAGTGACTTAATGTCACAGTCACACTCTCAGCAGGATGAGGGCACAGAAAAGCTGCTTCTTTATCTTCAGAGGAAAGGCTTTTCTGTTTGCGACAGCAAAGGATGCAGCCAAGAACCAGACAGTAGCAGAACACAGCCAGACCCACAGCCAGCACAACCTGCAAGTGGACTAGAAAACAAAAAGTCACAAATAGGCATGATAAAGGAGGCTCAATAGTTATTTGGTTTAACAAGTTAAAAGTATTACAGCTTTATTTGACACCAATTAATAAATAGCACTTATACTAGAAAAATTGTTGTTCCTAGTGGAACAGACGTGAGAATGCAAATCTGCAGAATGATTACTGAAGAAAAAGCAAAACAAATCATAAGAAGAAGGGAGAAGGTAGAAAAAACTATGTTTTGACATATGAATTGGCACATTTGGTTAAAGTTGGCAGAAGTACTAAAATGCAGTATAATGTGTAAACATTGAATAATAATAAGAAGAAAGAGAAACAGGAATTAATGCATTCTTGCTTATAAAGAGAAAAAAATAACTTAAAAAATGAGAATGGATTCATGCACTTTCACCGGCATTGTGTCCTTATTTATGTCACAAAAAATTCAGCCATGATAAAAAGCTAACTGTTGTTTGTGTGATTAAGGCTGCAGGAAAGGAAACACAAGCATTAGGATTATCATAGACTGACAAATGACATCGTCTCCAGAGTTTGACTCCAAATGAAGATGAATTCATTGCAAGAGGATCCTGCTGAGAACCATTATCTTGTTTTGTCTGCAATCTGTGTGCTTGATGAAATCAAAGAGGAAATGTTGAAATAATTAAAATGATATAGTTGGTCACTCAAGCAAGACATCTGTGCTTGTTTTTTGTTTTGATTTATTTTCTTTCTTTTTTTTTTTGTAGAGTTTTAGTTTACATTTTCAAAATCATGGTTGCGTCATCCATAAGTTTCTATTTTTAAAAGCTAAAAATAAAGACCGATATAGCACTGACGTATTTTGTATTACAATCCCTGACTTTATTTTCTGCATTTTCACGGTCATCTCTATTAGCATGTAATTGTGCATTTCTTTTTTAGACTTAAAAGAGATTGAAGCCACATAAGCTGTTGCGGTTATTTAACGTCACACGGTGGGGGTGTATTAAGATGACTCATCCTCCATAATTGGATTTTTGTGAAAATCACATCAGCCAGCAACCATGCTGAGATCAACAAATACTAAAATGTTTTCTCTGTCAATTGTAAAATTAAGATACATCTCCATGAGGACAAAAAGGTTAACTATAAGCTGTTGTAACCTGAGCTGCGTTCCTCCAATAAAAAGATCATCGCATCAGACTGTAAAAGCTCTTGAGAATGAAACCAATCAACATCCATAAAGATGAGATCACTATTCATCAAGAGAGCGTTAACTCTCCCAGCACAGACCCAGCAGCCCCATCAGAGAGCAACTGGCGGCTCCTCTCCATTAAGAGATGAATCTCCTGAGAAGCAATGAATCACACTGATAAAACATAGTTTGAATCTCAATTAGCTGTTAGGAAGATAATAAAATAATACAACTGGTGTACAAATTTTAAATCATTTTATTTAGGAAGACTTGAAACATACTAACAAAACTACCTAAAGCTGTATGTGAACGTAAGCGCGTTAATGTTGCTTTAAAAATTAATTAAACTAACTTTACATTTAGTTTATATTTAAAAAACAAAGAATATTCAGTTTCTCAGTTTGCTTTGCTGTTTTTATTATAAATAATTAAATAACTGGATAAAATGAATCTTGAAAAAGTACTTCTGAAAGCTTTTAGTTTCTAGTGGTGCATCTAGAGTGCTCAAAGTATATCTTAGTACAAAAGTCCTACAAGTACACCTGATTGTTTGGTTTTTGGTGTTTTGCTTCACATGTTTTTCTTCACCGGTAAGAAGAAAAACATCTGAGGTGCAGGTATGTGACAAATGCAAAATTTAAAAGGCAGCATCCCATTCAGCTGTGCACAAGCTATAAAATTTAATTCTCCAATTTTTTTTCTGCACTTTACAGAGTATTCTATGTTCTACATTATATTTACACGACATGGTAAGAGTATGACTCTAGCTAATGTGACAACAGCAAAATTTGACACTCATGAAAACAAATTAAGAATTTCCAAAAAGGAAAACAGGTTAAGGATTTGAGGGCTAACATCAAGGAAAAGCTGTATTGGGATGAGAATAAGTCAGAACTCATGCCTGAATCTATGGCTGGCTCATCCAGCATGAGAGTCCAAACAGGTTCCCCAGAAAGTTTTTGAGACAATTCTAGTTGTTTATTACAATTCCCGGAGTTTAGCATCAACCTTTGCAAATCTCATTGACATGAGGCTCAGATTCTCACTGCTGTTGTACTGCTTTATACATTATTACTAAAAACGTCATATTTTTGTTCAGTTCTGTTGTGGAAATGGTTGCTTATTTGTTGTAATTGTACAAGTTTTTGAAAATAAACTCGTGCATCCCTTTGCATTCTTGTACAACAAATAGATAATTATTTCTTAAGCAGTTTCAACCATACAAACAACAAGATTTTCTGCTGGACACAGAGTCAGCATCATTAACGAGGTTTGTGCACAAACAAAGAATTTGATTTCCCACACTATATAGATATAGAGTTTGTAATATACACATGAATTTCGAAGTAAAAAAAAGTTCTTGCTTTTAACATTGTTATGAAATATTGAAGCTAACATTTACTCTCCTGCAAAATGTTTTTTTGTGTGTGTGTCAATTTTGTGCTCTAAATCAGTGATTTAAAACAAAAAATGCTATCAGGGCCAGTCATTGAACATTACATTAATTTTTAATCTGAAAGGTACCAATTTAGTCAGTAAGGAAAGATTAAGAAGTTGCAACAGCTATTATGTTAAAGAAATAACATAGTTAGATATCATATTAATTTACCCATTGAAGTTTATTTTTTTCCGTCTCAATTTTACACTCAAGAACGGAAATGAGCCCGGTAAGATTTTTGGAGTGATCTCCTTCTTATGCTTTAGAATCCGATATTACAAAAGTAACACGTGATAAAGTCTGACATGCAAAACATATCGTACCTCCCAGAGAATACGACATCTTCAGCGTCTGAGGAGAGCTGGGTCAGAGAGAGCCGAGCATCCCGAGTGCGCAGCGATCTGACAACCATCCAGCAGCTGCTTCATCTTCTGAGTGAACCTGCGTCAAGAAGCCCCACCTCCTTTCATTTTAATATTACAACGCGCACTGTAGCCAGAGAGGCGCGGATCCGACTATTTTCACGGCGCTTCTCACCTTAAAAAAAGAATTCTGACTTTAACCTGAGAATTCTGACTTTAATCTCAGAATTCTGACTTTAACCTGAGAATTCTGACTTTAATCTAAGAATTCTGACTTTAATCTAAGAATTCTGGCTTTAATCTGAGAATTCTGGCTTTAATCTGAGAATTCTGACTTTAACCTGAGAATTCTGACTTTAATCTAAGAATTCTGACTTTAATCTGAGAATTCTGACTTTAATCTGAGAATTCTGACTTTAATCTCAGAATTCTGACTTTAACCTGAGAATTCTGACTTTAATCTCAGAATTCTGACTTTAACCTGAGAATTCTGACTTTAATCTGAAAATTCTGACTTTAATCTCAGAATTCTGACTTTAATCTGAAAATTCTGGCTTTAATCTCAGAATTCTGACTTTAAAGTCAGGATTTGTTTTTTGTTGTTGTTGCTGTTTTTATATATATGTATATATATATATCTCACAAGACTGAAATTTGTTGCTTCAATCGATTATCTCAGTAAATCATTTCATGTTCCAATTTGCAGATAGTATCTCTAAAAAATAAACACATCAGTTTAGGTTCAAAATAGTGAGATTACTCAGTGGTTTAAAGCATAAAATAGACTGAGATGAATGTTTCATTACAAAAAAGGATATGTGGCAAACTGCCACCAGATGGCAGAAATTGAACAAGGTTTTAATCAGAGGAAGAGTCTGTTCTAATATATAAACTTTAACTTTACAGTTTGTATGTCCTTGAAAAGGTCTTAAAGATTACTTTAATTGTAAATGAAAACAGTTTAGTAAGAAAATAAATAACTGTAGTTGAACTGACAGTGGTTTTGTTTTGAAATCGTCAGTAAAAAAAACTCTTATCTCATTGGGGTTGGGTGTAATTCCAACCCCTCCCATCTCATTTAGTCCATGTGTGATCGACGGACGTCTTAGTACTGAATTAATTGCTTTGACAAAAATGTTCACTTTACTGCTTCTACTTTTCTCTTCTTGTTTAAACAAAGCGAGCTTCCATTCACCGAGGATGGTGTTCAAATACAAAGGTAAGACATATTTCTATTTCTGTTTTCTTTTTGTAAAGGGACTAAGTTCATCTCATATCAACTGCTCACACATGAGCACGACGTTCACTGCAGCCAGAAAGTGAACGATTCGGACCATAAAAGCCTTGCAACTGACTGGAGGGAGCTGGAATGGATCTCATAAGTTTAGGATTTGAAGACTGGTCTTCTTCCTGAGGCTGCTGTAAAGAAAGACAAAACAAATACATTTTTAAATCCAATATAAAACCGTGCACTAATGGTGGCATCATATTGCAATATATACTTTTAGTCTACACAGCTATAATATTAAAATATTATATCCCTGTAGATGGGTGGCAGTGCGGCACACACCTTAATCACCATTAAATGGACCGTATCATGCCAAACAGTCCCACCCTAGAAGAGAGTTTTGAACTTAATCCCCAGAGTTCAGGAGCAAAGACCTTAATCTTGAGTTGATCTTTGTGCCTTGTGAGTGGTAGATATTCTCAGTTAAATGTTGTTCCACTTTGAAATACTAAATTAAGATATAAAGGTAGTTGCTGGTCTTAAATTTAACAAATAAAATGTTTATATTATAAATTCAAGACCTGCTTATAAGTGAATATGGAGGAGCATTTTGATATGTTTATGCATATTCTAGTGGGATAGATAGACAAACACAGAATAGTGCATAACAGTAATGTGTAGGGAAAACCGTGATATGTCTATGCACAAAAAAAAAAAATCATTAGATATAATGTGTTAGTAATCACCATTCTGCTGCATTAAAAGAAGAACAGGAATTATAGCTGTGCCAACCAGCCTTGCCCATCTGAACACAGTCATGTCTTCCAATTTTTCTTTGCAAATGTTCAAGATTATTTGAACATCAAATTTCAAATAATCTTGGTGGAAGGTGAACAACCGCATGAGTCCCATGCAGGACCGCATGTATCCTGCATGGGACTCAAGTAGGACTCTTGTGTGGAAAGTAGCTTCAAGACAAAATAAAGATATCAGCATTTATCACATTATCTTAAACACATACATTGAATTTAAGAAGTTAGATCATGTGACAATTAATGATCAAACAATTAGCATTGGCTACCACCACCAACATGCCAAACAATAAAAACAACAATGTTTTCACTACTCACCAATTCCATATATGGTTGAGTGCTTGACAACTTCATGGCTCCAAGCTCACTGGGTATTCAGATCTACATAATTTTCATATTGTGAGTTTTAAAAGTGCAAAATAAACAAAGCAATAAACTAGATGTTCGTCATATTCATTTCACATTAAAATCTTGGAGAGTGATTAGTTTCATAACTCCTTGTTAAATTATGTCACATATTTTGATCAAGCAGGAATATTCAACAGCAGATCACATTGGTTGCAGATGTATATATATTGCAAGGCTAATATTTCCTCAACTTGTCCTTATTTGCAGAGGCTCCAGTGAAAAGGTTTCCATTGAGTGAACAAAATTTGCCAGTTCAGATTCTCTCGGGAGAATGGCCGGCTGATGTTACATCTGTTGAAAAGAACAACCTGACTTTCTACAACTTCAGTAACACCGAGCAGGTAGTTATTACATTTACATATGACTAAAACTGAGAAACTTAAACCGTTCCAGAACTATTCTGTCAGTAAGATTAATTTAGAAGCATATTGTCCTTCACAGGATCCTGAAGCCATGACGATCCAGTGGAAAGATTGCCCCGGAGAAGTGAGCATCACAGAAGTTCATCTATTCTGGTTCTGGTTCCAAAGTTATAAAGAAAAATGTTCTTTTGTCATCTAGGACTGCAAAATTGCAATGGTTCATCAGAGGGAAGCAGGAAAGCCGCTGTTTGTTTGTACCACCAAACGCAGGACAACGGATTGCTGTGACCTGGTAGGAAATTGCAGAAGTGTTGACAAGAACAGTTTTGCAGAAGAAGTTGCATTGTATTTCACATTATGATAAGAAGACAATAGCTCGGCTTGTAATAATTTCAAGACAAAATAGGAAATGTTCCTTTTTTTTTTTTTAACTAATGGGGGGGATGCAAGAATACATGTATTTATTGTTAAATCACATTGTGTTGCAAGATTGATTTGTGATTCCTCTTTTTTACAGGATTCATCAGGGTCACCCACATGTGGTAAAATCCAGTATTTTAGGGAATTCAACATTAAGGAGGGAGAAAAATCTGTTCTTGATGGTGAGTTTATTTTCACAATCTTTTTTGTTTCGCTCTGCTGTTTCTGCTATTTGCTTCATGTGTTTTCAGATCCTGTCAGATTTAAATTCTCACAGGAACATTTACTCTCCTCATCCTTATAGGCACTGCATTTCTTCAATGTCTGTGCTGTTACTTAATTCTCTCAGCTTGGATCTAATGGTATTCTCTTTCGCTGTGCTTCTAATCTATGTAGTATTTGTTAGACAGTACCTCAAATTTGAATCTGACATATAATATGTGCCTGTTCTGTTTCAGAAACTGATGCAAAAACAGATCTGTACCTTACTTCTTCTTCTGGAACTGACAAGTATGTTGGCATCTATAAGTTTGGAAGTAAAAGAGTGATCCCAGCCAATCACGAGAACGGTATTTACACACAGTATAACATGTTTTTTTTTATAGCTCTTTAACATGACATGTTTTTCAACATTAGCAAATATACATAGTATATATGGTGTTTGATTTTATCTCAGTATGAATCCAACTGTTGGAGAACATTAACAAAAAAAAGAGTATCAAGAAGATGAAGCAGGCGATGTGGAGAAAGTTAAAAGAGGGGTAGGTCTCTGTAGAAGATGTTCATCCTCCAGCAGAACAATGATCCTAAACCAACAATCAATCCTGGAATTATTTATACCAAATCATATTCATGTGTTGAAATGGTCCAGTCAAAGTTTTAACCTAAATCCAATTGTGAATCAGTTGGGGAAACTTGAAAAATGTTTTTTTTCCCCACAAAAGCTCTTCTTCCAATCTGAATTGATCTTAAGCTACTTTCCACACAAAAATGGGAACAATAGATGTGCAAATCTATTAGATGAGCTCACTTGAGCTTATGAAGGTGCTGTGACATCAAGATGGCTTCCAGCACTATGAATGCTGGAAGATGCAGTCTGATCTGTTTGCTTTGAAAAATAGGTTCCAACATCACAATTATGATTGATGTTTTATGTTGGGCAGGCACAAAAAATCCCATTAAAAGCCTCTCGATTTGGTGACTTATTGACAATTTTTGTTTTATGTAATCCAAGTCTACATTCTTTTGTTTTTCCTGTCTGTAGAGCAGTACTATTTGGGATTGGTTCTGAGCAAAAGAGAAGATGAGCCATTGCAGAACAAAGTTTATTCTTTCTATAAGCAGAAAAACAAAGACATAAGCCCGGGCACTAACATGTGGCTCCCCTTTGTCAGCCAAGTTTGCACGGTAAGATACTCAGAATGAGAAAATGTAATCAGATTCACTGTTCATGCTAACCAAAATCTGGATCGGGATGATTGATCACTCATCTGGTGGCTGTTTCCAGGCTGATATGGGGGGTCCCAAGAACAACCTGCAGTTTAGCTGGACGTCTCTGATGAATGCAAGGCTCTATTGTGGTAATCCAGGCAACAAACAACATTTCTTTGAGCTGGTAGATGTGGCTACTGTATATTCAGACCATTGGCAGGACACCAGAGTTTATGCACTATTCAGAAATGAATGGTAAGATGTCAATGTGCAAGAAAAGTCACTTTGAAAAATAAAACTTTCTTATTGTTATATTGACTGAAATCAAAGCTATGTAAACCGTTACATGAAATTTAAGTTGTTCATGTTTTGATATGAACGTAAATTAAATTATGTGCATTTTGCTAAAGCTGTGAACTGCCTGGAGTGTTTCTCTGGCACTATTTAAAAAGTAGCACTTGTGGTATAACCAGAATGACTTCTCAGCTGTTGTTTGCATGATAAACATTTGCAAGAATCATGTGCAGTCATGAGCAAACACGACACCGCCGCATACACCCATTGTGCAGACTGAAATGTGCAATATAAATTCTGAGCTAAAGTAAGAGGAATACTCTATGCTACCTATGCACTTTGTTTTTGAAAAGCTGTCAACATGGTCATTGCTAACACTTCCTCCATTTGTGCGTTAACTTTTCACAGTGTTTCTTAACCACTTTCAGGTCTGCAATCTTTTTTAATCCAAGAGCAGCTTCTCTTTGCAGCAGTGTCTCTGTAAACTCTGCTGACTATCATTTCTTTATGCAGGGGCATGAGTGCTGTGTGCATCTACACAATAGGAGACATTGAAAAAGTTTTCACCAGATCGCCATTTATTGGTTCAGACAAGAACGACGAGGAGAGGAAAAAGGTATATAAGTGAGACTAATTTGTAATATGAAATGCTCCATCTAGTGTGCAGGCATATCTCAAGAACTCAGAATAATGTCCAAAGTTAATTAATTTTGATAGTTAAATTCAATTGCTCCACTACATATAGAGTAATTATTTTTCAGTGTTTATGTCTAAAAAATGTTTTAAAAGAATTTTAATGCTAAAACGGTGTCTTCTGTCTGACAAAATCACAGAGAAAACCGCTGACTTGACACTTGTCAGCAGCAGACGGTCACTGACGCTTTCTATAAGTAGGGCATTGCTGAAGAAGCTGGTCATTCAGGATGTTGTTGCCACACATATTGACAGATAAGGAAAACGTGTTAGAAAATGTGCACCAATAACAAAAATAACTGCAGACTTGAGAAGATTAAAAAAGAAGCCTGTTTTAAGTGTTTGAGGGAAATTCTTAAGATAAGAACTGCAGCCAGAGCCACTCCTTCAAAAATCACCAGATGGTTGTATCTAGGAAATAAGCTACATATCAGTTCAGGACATCAATTTCATTGCTTGAAACTGATGTTGATGGTTGAGGGAACTCAACTATCCAACCAGACACAATATCAGAAGGATCTTGAAAAACGATTTGACTATTTCTCAGGTCTAAAGGTCACTTCAGATGAAAGCAAATTTTGCATTTCATTCCATTTTATGAAGTCCCAAGTCAGTCCAGTAAATCTTTGAGCACTCCATGTTTCCTGTTTTGTTAAAATTTTCTGGCATGCTTAATTTTGGGGTTTTTATCAGTTAAAGGCCATCATTATCAAAATTACCAGAATAAATGACAAAATTACATCACTCTGTGTAATAAATGAGGCAAAACATTTATGAAATTCTTACTTACTGAGATAGACCTGTATTCTCTAGAAATTATTCTATGTTTGCATTACATTTGAGTTGCATTTACTTTGTTACAAATTAAACTAGAAATATTTCCTTTCCTGTGACACCTTCTCAGTACAAGTTATTGTATTTTGAATTTTAAATCAGCCTGTCTGTATCTGTGAAAACAAATAGCCCCTCTGGGAGTCACCTCTTAATTAGCAACATGTTGATACATGTTTTTTCTAATGTATGAACTTTGTGCCTTCAGTGTGTTCCTGACAGCACCAAGATTTCTACTGACATCCTCAGGAGAGTCGAAAAAGTTTCAGAGATGAAGGAGTGGGTGAAGCCCAAGTTGGGCCCAGTTCTCTTCAACCATCACAACTACACCCGAATCTTAGTTGATGCTTCCCCAGAAAATCAACACACAGTCATGTTTCTCTCTCTGAGTAAGTACAAGTTTTCTAAACTAGTTATGAAATGAGCAGAAGTTATCAAATAACCTTAAGAACATGTCAGACAAATATTTGTAAGTTTGTAAATTCAAAAAGTAGAGATGAGTCAAGCCACTGTAGAATTGGGCTGAGCTGAATGAATAATGACCTATGGAATTTTAAGCTGGGCTTTTGGTGCGACTAAATAATGACTAAGTGGGAATCTTGCTGTATTAGTTGATTTCATTTCACAGAATTGATTCATTTCAGCTTAGTTTAATTTTTTTTCTTACTTCTCTGAAGTTTTCTGCTTACTGGTAGAACTCTCTCTGATTAGTTTTAGATTTATGGTCATGCCTTGAAAGCTTAAATATAACTTGTATTGGGTTAGCAAGTACATTTTGTACCTCTTCCCCTTGTTGCTCACACATCAGGTTTTTAAAACAGCAGAGAAACTTGTGCTTCTGAGATGAACTAATATAGGACCTAAAGCTAATTCAACCTGAACTACTAACTCTCTCAGGGATTAGTATCTTTTGATTTTACCATAGGGGAAATCATTAGATTCCCTAATGATTCATTTATATATATAAAAACAAACAGTCCCTTATTCCCATGGTGATTTCATCACAATGGGGAAGGAAAGAGTGTCAAGAAAAAGTCCAAATTGCATGGTAATAATTTTGCATGTGACTGAGATAAAGAAGCATGTTCTCCTTTTCCAATGCATTTTGATCATTGGTGACTCTTTTAGAAAACCCATCTAGAAAGTCCAAATGTTTTGCCTGTTTTGCCACTTAAAGCTTCGGCTGTCTGGGGTTTTCTGTACGAGTTTCCCATAATCCTCATCATGAGGTTACTTCTTTGAATATGTTTTGATCAGCAGAGGGAAGAAGATTCTCTGGGAAGATGTTTGGGCGAATGGCTGTGAAGTTGTGCTGAACGAACCAAAGCGTGATGCTTCCACCTCTGGGCTCAATCGTTCAGATAGTGTTACATCCAACATTTCTCTGCTAAACTCAAGAGAGCGAAGGCGAAATAAAACAACTTGACTTTGGTCTCTTTCGACCGTGGCATTTTGTATCAAGCCTTTTATTAGTTATTTATATGTTCACCTGCAAACTTGATTGATTTGTATTAGAGGTGGGCATTTATTGTGTTGTTTATCATTTAATGTGATCAATATGTTATCATAAGAATTTTCATTTTTTGTTGTCAGAATAAATTCAGTTCAGCAAAACATTATAATGATAGACAGACAGACAGATTGTGAGCTTAAGGGTAATAAAAATGTGTTGTGCGAGGGGGTTCAAGAACTCATTTATTTTTAGTGACATACAAATCAACTTGTTTTATTTAATTTTGATTTTTTGGATTTTTGGTTAATATTCTTATTTTATGTTAGCTTTAAATAATTATTAAAAAAGCAGACTGGTTCTTTTGGGACAAGGATCTAACATGCATTTAGATCCTTGTCTAAGGAGTGTCTGTTTTTTTTGGGCTCTGTTACACATTTAAATTTATCATTGATGTGTAACTTCCTGGCAGTCAAACATTTGCTATGAAAATTTTGACATCATTGTGAAGTTGACCAATGATGGTTCCTGAATCACCACAATAAGTTAAAAAATAGCTTTTACACAAAGTTATTCTATTCTTAGCACAGAATCATACGTTTGTATTTCCAGTTAATAATAAAACAATATTTTAAGCTCAACTATTGCATCATACCAATACAAAAAGAAAAACATAAATGTGAATAAACGTAAAGTATGTTTACAAATTGCTAAAAGCTATTTTCAAAAATCTACTTTTACAATTAATCTTATTAATTGGCACTGTATAATAATTATTTTGTTCAGTTTTTTCTATTACTAATGTCTTCAAGACATGTACATCACTTTGGTTGCCTTAGGTTATTTTATAAATAACGAAATAATTGATTTGATGTAGCTGTGGATTTCCCAATGATTGTTTCCCAATTTCTTGTCCGGGAAGTGTTGCAGAACGCTGAAGTCAAAAGTTAAGATTCATTTACACCCGTAGGGGACAAAAAGTTCTGGGTGTGAAGGCAGGTGTGTGTCATCATCTTCCCTTTATGTTGTGCCCTTTAACCAGGTAATGGTGCTATTCACAAGGCATTACAGATGGAAAGTCATTCATTTGTCATCGCTGAGTATCAACCTTTCAACCACTCAGCCCACATTCTCAACCTCGTCCTTAACCCCTCTACTGTGAGTAACAAGTGAACTAATCCACCCACACAAAAGTAGGAGTTAGTGCTTGGAATGATTTTATTGAGATATTATTCCAGGTTTGAAAGAATTATGAAAAAACTGTTTTGAAATAGTTATTTTTATTATTAAAATGTGTGTGAATCTTTGTTACAGAAAAAGCTGTATGTGAACTCACAAACTGAGCTGGTCCAAATTGACGTGGGAAACTGTGGCCAGTATGGAAACAACTGTCAGGATTGTGTTCTGTCCAGAGATCCATACTGTGGCTGGAAAAAGAAACAATGCACCTCTGAGACGAGGTAAGACCCCAAGGCTTCATTCGACCACCGATCTCTGTCTTTTGGAGTAAACATAATCCAACACAGAGGTTTATTGACACCTCACAGACTCTCTTACCAGTACAATAAAACCATTTAATAAACTTTAACTATTTTTATTACCTAAAAACAAAAGTATATTTCCGAAGACTAACTTGACAACATTACTACAATTATAATCTGGTTGACACATGTTTTTCTTTTTTTTTTTTAAAAAAAAGGATTAGGTCATGCTTGAGGATTATGTACATGTGTGCCATTAAGGGTTTGAATCCTATTATTTTGTATATTTTATCCTTAATTCAAACTTGAGTGAATTATTCTGTAACAGAAAAAATGACTATAAGAAATGAAGTCAACTGCAGGATTTGAAGGTGCTGAACACCAAACACATTTTTTAACTAGCAGTTTGCAGCTCTTCCACTTTGTCAGTGTCCATTGCCACAAAGCGTTGCTTGTATAATGACTAAACCTTGTGACACATCCTTGATGACGAAATACACGGCAGTGTGTATTTCCTCAGGTCTGTCCAAGCCTGCAGAGTTATCACTGGATGCTTATTTTGTAATTGGACCAACTGCTACATGAGTTACAACAAAGCTGCACCTACTGAAGGAAGGTAGAGCAGTTCTTTGACAATATATCAACAATATAGTGTTGATTATTTAAATATAGAAAAATCATTCAGCAGCTTTTCATTTCATGGTCATACACATATGACAAGTAAGTGAATCTGATGACATTTTGTGTTTCTTATCTACCCAGTTGTAACAATAGTCTTTTTGTGAACCACTTTGCTACTTAACTCTGTACCAATGCTGAAGCTTATTGGTCAGAATTCAGTGTAGCAGAAAACATTACAGTTTTGCTTGCACACCACTTTGAATTCTGACCAGTAATGTGACTTGCGTCAGATGCGTGACTTGCTTCTCTGTCTCCTGACTGTAATATGTCATGGCATTTTCACTTTCTGCATGTTTTCGTAAACAGTAGGGAGTAGAAATATTTCATAGGGATTTGCAAACTATCTGTGGAAGAACTGAAAACTATGCACCACTTTATATTAAATCAAGGGTGCGCATCAGTGATTGTGGTTTACCTAAATTCAAAAAATTGACTAACACACAACTGGGTCGGTTTCATAAATCATTCAGCAGCATTTTGTTTCACAGTGCAGCACCTTTGAAAGGAAAACCCACTACTTGACACTTCGCACCCACCTAAACATTCCCATGGAGGTGTGAGTGCAGAAACACACCTCCATGAGAATGAGTCATTTTATATCAAAGAGTCGTTTTATATCAAGATAAAATTACTAACATTTTTATAGGAATTTATTCATTTCAGTTGTTTATAAAACAGAGATTAGCTTTAAATGTAATTACAAGATTCCGTAGAAGACGGGCACATTAATGATTAAAAAAATAATGGAATCCAACTGTGTCTAAAATCAGTTCAGATAAATCCAATCCATCCCAAAGTCATCCAGTTAAATCAAAAACTGTCAATCTAAGGTGACCCAGCTGACTTTGATAGAGTAAATGACTTTCCAGTTTTTGTTGCTACTACAACAAATTGTAATAACAAATTGTAAGCCTCAATCCAACAAAATCTTTGTTCAACTCTTTATCACAGGAGTTTTTATTACATGAATTTAATTTCTAAAATATTACTAATGGGAACTTTTTTTCCCCTCATTATGTGGTAGTTTGGAGTTACCCACAAAATGTGACTGCATGTGAATCATAAACAAAAAATAAATAGGTTAGTTAGTTAGTTAGTTAGTTAGTTAGTTAGTTAGTTAGTTAGTTAGTTAGTTAGTTAGTTAGTTAGTTAGTTAGTTAGTTAGTTAGTTAGTCTAAAGTTGAAAAGCTGCAACAGACATTTGCTTACCCTTTGAACATCAAACTGAAAGCTGAACTGAAGTTGCTGCATTGTTGCGCTGGTGCACATGGGGGGAAATGCAGTCGTTGCCGACCTTTTTTTCTACTTCACATGAGACCCTCTGAAACCACAGAACAGTATATGCATTCACAGTATGTAGTGCAGCAGGTTGCAAGCTCTGAATAGGAGAGCCAAGGGGGATGGGTGTTAGATGATTGAGTTATAAAACTTCATTCACAGCCTTGAGTCAGTTTAATGCCACTGACTGTGTTTGTGGGCTCAAGGAACGGCTGACAAAGGGTGATTAACAGAAGACAATGTGGAAAACATACTAACTCTTTGAAGATTTTGAAGTAATATGAGTTACACCACATTTAATTCCCCTTTTGGGATAAATAAAGTATGTTTCAATTGAATAGCGTTTAAATTACAGGACTTTACAGTGGCTCACGACATTGAGCCACTGTAATGTTTTGCTCCACCAAAGCTTGTGCCATTTTGTAGCGCAACAGCTTACAGGTGTGCAGTTGAAATACAATTTGCATTTTTAAAGATAGCAAGCACTTCCTGTAGCATTTCTAATTGATATTCCTTCTATTTTGCAGTGGTACACTTCAGGATGTCATCCATGGGAACCATAGCATTTGCTTAGAAGATCAAGCATCATCACTTCCACGCTTAGCTGAAGGTACTGACATATTTATGAGTGAACTTGCCTGTTTTATTGAAAATCAAGACTGTCAAGTGTTCATGTATAAACATGAACACTTGACAAAGAACTTTGCTTTGGGTTCAGGGTGACCGAATTAACTACCTTTAACATCAATGCATTCAAAGTACGTTTATTGTTTCAAAATGTAAAAAACTAAGGACATTTTCAGAAATATGCCTGCTTGTGTTTTACATTCAGAAAATGGTAATTTTACCTTTTGTAGCAAGATCTAACCAAATGCACTTTAACCAATCAACAAAAGCAAACCAAAATTAGGTTAACATGACATTGAGTCATGCAGGGTTCTGTTTTCTCATGAGATAAAACATCATGAGCCATTTTGTGACTTCTGTATTTTTTTGGTTCCTGTGTCATTTGACTTATCAGCAGCTTCTCCCACTTGCCATTAATGTTAAGCTTCCACTGAACCAGTAATCCTAACCCTAACCGTAAGTTGTAAAAGTTTCATACCATATGACTTTGATATTGCCCTGCTGATAGTTTGATCATATACTAAACAGTTCATGGATACATGCAGGCAGGGACCCTTTTGTATAAATTACTGCGTCAACAGGGAAGGCATGGAGGTGATTCACCATTATTGCTAATCCACAGCAGTTTGTTATTGGTATACACCCTGCATATCTACTTGTAGAAGATATTGTAAATAATCCATCGTGCTGTTTGAATGAACTTTAGCATAATATAGCAGAATTTTTTTTCTTTATTTAGCTCTCATAACTACCAAACTCAGTCTGCTCTCTGCAGTTAGCTATGCAACACCTTCTTTACAATAAGCTCTGCACCAACCTTTGTATAGCTTCTTGTTGGGTCTTGTTATTAGCGAGATGCAAGACTGGGTTATCTATAGTGTGATCATAGGGCAGCTTGCTTGAGACACCCAGCTGGACAGCTTCCTCTGAAACAAACTTGGTGAAAACAAATCTAATATATAGCAAATTTGATGAAGTTTCTGTTATGGTTTTGACTTTAACCAGTGCTAGACTTCCCTTATAAGTCTGTTCACCATTTAAAGCAGTTTCCTCCAAATTTTCTTTAACAAAATGACCGCAGTTTTTGTTTTGGTAAATACTGTTATTTTGTCTTAAGGGGACTATTAACTTTGGATTCATCACATTTCTGTTACTATGCAAATAGGCATCTTGTTCTCCTGTGGAAAAAAACAGAGACCAAACATTTGGTCTCCGTTTACACTACAACTAAAGTGTATTATACAAACTTGTTTAATTTGAGCAATATTATCTTATCTCACATCCTCCAGCTGTTCTATGGTGCTGAGAGAGCTTCCTGTGCACAGAGTTCACCACCAACTATAATGGACGATTTCAGCATCCACAAAAATGCCTTCCATCTGGATTTTGTTTGATCAACTTCCAAATGTCCAAATATATAGATTAGCTCTGTTTTCTTGTTCTTGTTAAACCGGTGTTGTCCTTACCAAACACATCACATTCAATGACAATGTTTTATTAAGTTTCCCATCAGTATGCGATCCCTCGTTTTATGTTACTCTTATTTAGATCCTGTTCCTTCTCGTTCCACGCTTTGATTTATTTCAGTTGTTTACGGTTTCTGTAAAGTCTTTTTGGGTTTCCTTTTTATTTTTCAAATAACTTTGGTTCCCACAGCCTGAAAACTGTCCTCAATTTTGGTTCGACATCTGCTTAATATTTTGAAGTTTTATGATGTTTTACCAAAGGTTCATCTAAACCACTTAGAATATTCTCAAAGGTTTTTGACAGGAGAGTAGGCTACAATAGGTCATTGCAGAAAAGCTGGGTGTGAAGAAAAATACTGTAGTCAAGCATGTTACTGGACCGTTTATTGCAAAGAAAACATGTTGGAGCAAAAAGTTCACAATCAACAGTGATAACTGTGGCATAAATAAGCTTGTGCATGGATCAAATTGATCAAATTGTGAAGAGAATTTGATCAGCTAAGATACTTTTGCTTAGTAGACTCTCTTTTTGAAGTACTGTTTTTTTCATTTGGAAATCAAATCCCAGAGTTGGAAAGAAGCAGCTGTGTAGGGAAATGAACAGACATGTTTAAACTGAAGGTGGTTATAACAAAAGGAAGGAAGATCAATGACAAAATAAAGCAGGAAAATTACTTAACCAGAACATAGAACATAGAGAAACAAAGAAAATATGAGAAAAAACTCAAAGTAGAAAAAAGGAACTCTTTTTTTTTTTTTTTTTTTTGCTGCAATAGATGGTTCTGTACACAGACAGACCAAACCTTGAGGGCTTGCCAGCATGACACACTTCATATCTGGTAAAAATAACCAATCTTTAGTGGCCTACTTCCCTAGTAACTATGTAGCCACAGTCTTCTCAGAATTGTTTTACGTATGCTGGGTTACAATTATGATTGTATCTAAAGAGAAGTTATCTTTTAATCATGAAAACAAATGCTCAAAATACATCAAATACACATTTTGTTTGTATAAACTTTATAGGAAGTAGCATCAATCTGTAGAAGACTGGAAATGAACTTGTATTTTAATTTCCTTTAGAAGTAAAAAATATAAATGTGTTGCTTTTATTTGTACTTACCCCTGTATTGACTGCTTTGTAGAACCACATTATACTAAACTGCAGCTGTGAGTCCTTTACCTCCTCCAGCTTTGCACATTTACAGACTGAAGTTTTCTACTTTTTTCTTTTTAAAGTAGCATAATCTCTTTCAGCGTGAATAGAAAGTGTCTCTTTGAGCACCAATTTTCAGATACGATCAGAAATCCCTGGTTAGATTTCGGTCTAAATATATAAATATGTTTTAATCTCAACGTTTGTGATTCCGGCTGCATTTGTAGGTTATGTTTCGAGTGGAATTGTAAAACTCTTCTCCGGTCTACAATAACATTTCTTCCACTATTGCCTCGTACTTAGCCCCAGATATCTTCTCATGACCGAGGACCAGCTAGTAACAATTGATGAAGTGAAGGCATGAGAACTAGATAAGCAAGAGACTAACTGAAACAAAAATAATGTTATTTAAATAAAAAATTCCAAACACACCCAGAAAATAACCGAGAGAAAAAAAACATGACAAGAGGACAACTATACTCCACAAACAAAGAAGCAAAGAGTATGAATAGCAGAAACCTGTGGAGCATAAAATCCCATGACAAACACCACCAACACTCACAGATCATGACACAGAATGATGCTGCCACCACCGTGTTTCACAGAGGATGTTCATCACCACCAAATTTTCTTTCTTGTCTTAGCAGAGCAACTGCTTACACGTATCTGGTGTCCAATATAAAAAAAAATAAAAAATAAAAAAACCCGCTATACTCTTTACTTTAATGCTTATTTTAGCATAGTATTCTTTGATACACTTCACCTTCTTATTTGGAAAAAATGATCAACTATGCAAAATTTTTAGTTCACTTCACAATTATGTGCTACTTTGTGTTTGTCTACCCACAAAATTCCAGTGAAATTAACTTTATCATAATGTGACAAAGTAAAAGGGTAATATGCAAAACACCAAACTGATAAAAGTGAATGCATTACTTTCTTTCCACTGTCAGTGAAATTTAACTTGTCCTTCCTGTTCTGAAGGAGAAGGTTAGATCACAAGCAGAGCAGTGATCCAAGTTAAATAACAAATTAATCAGGGACACATTTCAGAAACAAAGATGCAATAAATTCTGAACTTATGTTTTTCTTATGTTTTTCAGGCACCAAAAGTCACGTAGACAACTCAATGAAAAAGATCACAGTTACCTCTGAGTCCAGCTACTTTCTACGATGTCCAGTTTCATCCCATTATGCCCAGTATACCTGGAAAACTCCTGAGGGCTCCAGTTCCTGTAACCCAAAGTATGACGAGTGTCTTTTGCTGATCGACAGCATGACTTCCAATCATCAGGGAATGTATAAATGCGAGTCTGAGGAAATGGGCTATCGAAAAGTCCTGGCAAAGTACGAGCTGACACCTTCATCTGCAGGCCGGACATTTTGTCCAACTGTCTGGATTTTTGTTGCAGCTGTTTTGAGAATTGTCTGGTTTTAGTTTAGAGCCTTTAACCACATTTTTAATCTTAAAACAAGCTCCAACAGAGCTTGATGTCATTGTGGTGAAACAGACTCGCCAAAGTGAAAATATTGTTGCAAAAAGAGAGAAAAATAGTCATGTATAAATGTGAAACAAATTCAAAGGTCACTTTAGCACCAGCACTGTTCTCATGTTCTCATGAGCAAAACTGCTCAGCGCATTTGTTAAAAGCTGAAAAAGGACTTCAGGAAGTCTTAGCATCCTGGTATAGGTCTCCTGAAATAAGAAGTCCGTACTTCCTTTTTCAGTACAAAAGGAAGTGTGTTTTGGCCACAAAACACAGGTCTGAAATGTTGAAAAAAAAAAAAAAAAAACATTTAATTTACATTTACCTGCCACCTGACGTCTCCAATGTATCTTAGTTTCTTTAGACGGCAGACATACAAAACTCTGATTGGGGCTATTAGGAGAGGGATTGTAAACTTGCATTATGAATTAAGACAAATTTAGTGACATGCTACAGCAGCAGAACCAGGCAGGTGCAGAAAGGCCCAACGCCTTTGTACCACATGGGAGTGTCGAAGAGATATAAATATTTTTTTGCAAAGTGTGGTTATTTCAGTTTGTGGGCTTTTTAAATATATGATGCTATTTTTTTTTCAATAAGACATATTTGCTGTCTGAGTGCTGTGGATAAGGGATGATATCACAAGAGACATTTTAAAATTGTGCTTTTGTCTGTACGAGAGATGATGCAAAATTTTTGGCAGACATGCAAGCAGCTTATCTTTCATCAGTCATGTAAGCAATATCTGTTTGTCTTTTTTGCATATCTGGCACAATATGTCTACTGTTTAAAGAAGTATAACAAGTTTGAGAAGTTGTCAATCTAGTCATACTGATGTCATCCATCATGAGAATCAACTTCTAGATATGCTTAATGTTTATAATGAGCCAACGCTGCAGTATTTACTTCAATGACTTTCAATTATATTTTAATATCTGTAGTTATGATGTTTATTCTATCACTCTCATTTTGTCTGTTAAAATTAATTTTTGTGTCTCAGTTTTGCTATGAATTGTTAAAAATTCAGCCAGGAGTTTTAAAAGCATGATTTCAAGCAGGCAATTGCCATAATAAATTATTAGTATCAGTATCAGTCAGTCACTGTGTGGTAAAGATGACATCCGGTTGGAAAACCTTAATCAAACACAATGCTCCAAACATTGTATTTGATTAATAGAATGTTTGTTGTTGATTTTACTGTGAAAAGAAACACCTGGGTTGGATCGTCCGACAGCAGAAACATCGATTGTAGTCAGAATAAGGCAACATTTGACATCAGTATTAAAGATCCATTTTTGTGTTTTACAAGTGGGTTTAGTTAATTTTAGAATAACCTCATTTATAGCCTGTAGTCAGTCATAGCAAACTCAACATTAAAATGATCATTAATATTGTTTTGTTTTCATCTTTAAGCATCTTTCAGTTACTTTTTAATGTTTAAACATATTTCCAAATAATTGTGTAAAGTTAATTTGATCTTTATTTCATATTGTACAAACATGTAAAAGTTTGGTTAGTGTTACATACCCCATCATCAAGAGAAATTATGTGTGGTAGCATGTGGTCTTAATAATTCACAAACCAATATGTTTATGTCACGCGTGAAAAGTAAATATAGGGACACATTTGAACTTTCACTGGAACTACCTCATTGACCATGACCTTTGAATTTCACCACATTGAGCCATTCTGTATCGTTGAATGTCTTTTTCTAGAGAACTGAAATAAAAAGAGAGTCATCATTTCTGAAATGTTGTTTAGAAATACATTTTTCATACATAATGTAAGATAGCTGGCCTAACATTGTGTTCTTCAAATAATGTTTGATTAGTTTGTCTTTATTATATTATATATTATGTTATAATAATTATGACTATATTATATTATAATAATTATTGTCTTTTTTGTGTAATAAAGTTTATTCTTTTAATAAAGCCAAAAAAAGACAAAACAACATTTTTTTTAATATCTCAACCATGTGATCTTGTCTTTTCCTCTACGATTTGATGGGTGATGAGGTTGACTGAAAGAATTTGTCCTTCATTATTTAATCATTACTCTGTTGATAATTATTTCTTATGAATCCTACTTATTTTCTTAATAAACAATCTTCACAATTTGCTGTTCTGAGTTGAATTGCCTCTGTGATACATGAGAGAAGAAAAGGGGGCAAAAATATCCCAAAAGAATTGCAGCTCAATTTATATTGAATGACAAGTGGCTCTACAAAATATTAACTCTGGGAGGTTCAATATAAATGTAGGTAACATTTTTCAGATTTCCGAATCAGGTTTTTTTTTTTTTAAAGAAGCCCTTCAACTTAAAACTTTTTAGTATACTAATACAAAACACAATTGCATTAAATAATAGAAGTACTGCATGCAGGTAGAGAATGCATGTGCATTCCCTATTAGTTGAGGTATTTCCTTCAATGAACGGTGTTGTATTGCCTTGTACATATGACACAGCTTTCTACCCAAAACAATGGAGAACAATTGTTTTTCTTCTAATTGCCACAACATGACTGCCCTTTTGTTTGTTCAAAGGGCCTAAATTTCCAAAACAATTACGACCGAATCATTGTTTACAAAAGAATGCTTTCCTGTTATAATTAGATGCTTCCCTTTTCTCTTTACAGTGTTACTGCTGCTTTGTTCTTTTAACGATACGAGACACATTGGTCTGTGTTTACTATAAAATAGACCGACATTTTGAAACGTGTTTAGTTACTTTTCAAATGAAACTGCACAGCACTAGGACTAGGTCTTGATCATCATTCGATTCAGTTCAGTTTATTTATATAGCGCCGATTCACAACAAATGTCACCTCAAGGCACTTTACAAAACACATCCAATTTATATACAGATATAGATTATATATTCCGATTAGATTTACATTATGTCCTTTTATGGATAACGGCAGATTTAACGCGGATGAACTTTCTTTTTCCAATGACTATATTCTGTGTGACAACCGATTACAAAAAAATGTATATGTAGCTTTAGCTGAAATTGATTAACAGCAGCAAGTGTAAATAATCTATAAAAAAGAAACAAGTCTACTGATTTTAGAAGAAAGGAAACAGACACACAAAATTACGATATAAAGTAAAACTTTATCATGACATACAAGTTTAAAGCCCTGAGAACCATATCTTTATATTAACTAATATGAACAAAACTGAATGTGTGAAAACCACTTTGGAAAAGTGCTCCTCTTAAATACAATCAGCACAAACCAGTTTTTACAAGCATTCTTGTGTTTTGTTCAATTTTTTGTTTGCATTAATCAAAGAGAAAGCTATAATAATCAGTAATATTATTGTCATGTCCATAATAATAATAATTATAACAGTACAAAAATATGCACAAACCCCACAGTTGAATTAATATACGGAGCATTGTACAAGCCAAAACAACATAAAATTGATAAATGAGGTATTTGATAACCACTTGCATATGCACCTGTTAAACACAGATCAGGCCAGTCCTTAAACATTCGAAAAGTGTATTTTATTCCAAAAATCAAGACACCTAAAAATTCCTCAGACTTCCAACTTCACAGCTTCCTGAGTGACGAGACGTCGCCTTGCAGTTGGTGACGACAGAAAGCTTGAAATAAAACAGAAAGCAACTCAAAATTGAAGAAGCAAAATGATCAGAGCTTTCATCAGTACTTGTCACTCTATGCAGCTTCGTCCTGAGGTACTGTTGAACGACAGACATGCCACACACTGCCAGGAAGCCTTAACTACATCCACTGGAGAAGGGTATATGACGAACCAACCCTCAACACTTCCCACTCTCTGATCAGACCTCAAGCAGCACATGCAGGTCTGTGTTTGTGGCAGGCAGTTGCCAGTAAACCGAAACTGTGCCAGCCTCAAGAAAAGTTGCTAACTGACAACTTAACAAGCTCACTATCATTTTAGGAATTACCAGGTAGAACATTGGCGCCATCTGCAAGCTGTTTAATGTTACTACAATGATGCTCACTGAATAATATATTAAACCTGCTTCCACACACTCCCACACACAAACACAGAGACATACAAAGGCAGTGAAGCTACTCTACCAAACAGCAATTACAAACCAAAAATTAAGTAAATGATACTGACAGTTTGAACTTAAAAATGTTTTAGTGATGCAGTTTAGATGATTTACCTAAACAATTTCAGCCAAGACAAATAAAACAATACAAATAAATATCAGAACTCATCTGGTAACAGTATGAATGGTGGAAAATATCTATCCAAACGGCAGGTGATAAACCTGCCCTGACCAGATCTCACCAACAACTACATTAAGGCAGCATCTATGATTCCCTCCTTTATGAGCTTGTTTTTGACCAAATAAAATGAAAAGCTGCTGGACTCACATTTAGTGGCAAAGATACAGTCAAGCATCAAGACCGAGCCTTATATTCAACACAGGAGAAGCTGGAAAATCTATTTCTAAACCTTACTGATGAAATGTTTTAGAAAGAAAACAACTTGAAGGAAAACATCTTATGCCTTCTGTGTCTGAACCACCAGGAAGTGTGTTTGGCTGGAAGGAACTGAAACTGTGGGGCATTGCCTGAGCTTGCAGACAGATGGTTTGTTCAGTGCCCCCCAAAAATATCTGATTATATAAGCTCAACATGACATGAGATCTGGCTTTTGTTCTGTATAACACTCCTCCTGCACAGCCAGCATATGACCATCCTTTCATGTTACACGTTCAGATTTGATTTCATCTAGTTTAAATTGTGAGCAGGAAGTGAATGCATGTCATAATATGTGGAGAAAAAAAGGACTTGCACCTCACCTGACATTAGTTTTCACAAATATTTCAAAGATTAGGTTGTAAGAGGTAAGGTGGGATTTTGTTTTGCAGTTCAACAGACTGTCGGATCTGTTTTTCGATCCACCTCAGCACATGCAACCAGGATTGTACGAGGATGACCAGCTGGACTAGTCTTTGGTATCTAGCTGTGCAATAACCAGAAAATTGATGTGATCTAACACTGGTCACATGATTGTACACATGCATTTCATTTCAAAACGGCCAAGAAAGAATTAACTGCAATTCCTCTGTTCGCAATCAAATCTCACAATCCTGCAAATCTGTACAACAGTGAGGAATGAACATTTCTGTTCCTCTTCCCTGAAAAAAAAAATGCATATATCACTTCCCTTAGATGAAATCCCTCCAACCCACCCCGCCCACCTCAAATCCCACCCACTGGGAAAAAAATAGCAGTAAAAAAAGAATGCATAAAACAGGGTCTATGAGTAAATACAGCAGAAAGAAAGCAAACCCTTCCCAACTCTTTTTTTTTTCTCCCCAAAACCCACCCGCAGTGTGTCAGTACATCCATCTCAGTTTCAGTTCAGGCAGGATTTGGCTTCACAGCCGAGGTATGTAGTGTCGCTCTCGCTTTCAGAGAGTCTAATGAGGTATTTTCTTTTTTTTTTCTTTGAAACAGTCACGTAGTCTTGTGCATTCTTCACGAATGAATCTTCTTTAAATTATCAGTGATTCCTTGCGGTTGTCACTTTGCTTCCTGAGAGAGATGCCCTCCAGAAGAGAGAGGCCAGTGTGAGGTCTGGGAACTACTTACTGATGAAGACGCCGTCCTACTGGACATTCAGGTGGAAGGATGCAAACTAAAATACAGGATGGGGGTGACAAAATGGGACCGTGTAGCTGGGTTTGGAATGCCACAGTAGGTCTGATTAGAGACAGGGGCTCAGGGTCTACTGGGCTTGTTGGTGGACAAGAGCTGCTGTCCCCCCGCCCCCGAACTTTGTGCGTTAAGTTGTTAAAAAACAGGCCTATGAACAACTGAACTAAAAGTGCATCTCAGTTGATAGAAATATGTTCAAAATGTTAATTTATTTCAGCGCCTCAATTCGAAAAAGTTAAAATTACATTATGTGGATTTCTTATACAAAGAATCAATGTTTTCAAGTATTTACTTTAGTTAGTTTTGATGATTATGGTTAAAGAGCAGGGATGAAACCCAAAAATTCAGTTTCTCAGATGATTAAATAAAATCTATCAATATAGCTTTTAGTGCAGAAATTTCATGTTAGCGTATCACAATAATGCTCCACATGCAGATTATTTCACTTATAACAAAGGAAAAGTGTCTCATTATAAGTGAAATAATCTGCCAGGGAAAACAGGACTTTTATATGAATAGATTTACTTGAATCAACCTCCAATATTTTCCTAAAAAATTACAAGTGGCTTGGTTTTATCTCATTTCAAATGCACTAAATATATTTGCACTAGAAACTACACTAATAATAATAGGTTTTGTGGTTCTGAAGTGTGTTAGGAAAGTAAAAGCTCTTGATAAAGAAGTTGGCTGTGAACACAGTGCAGAATCTCAGAAGCTCTTGATAAGCATAGGGAAGATCAGAGGCAGGAAAAAATGTCCATTTAAAAACTTGGGGGACTTTCACGAAACATAGCCTGCAGCCTGGATTAGCCCTGAAGAATCCCCCGACACACAAAGACTTATTCAGGACATGAACAAGCCATCTACCAAGAAACTTTAACTTGTCAGGACTTGGTACTTTTTCAAAGTACCAGTATGTGCCTTTATGAACATGGTATCACTGGGTTCGACTGGCCAGCAAACTGGCCTGACCTGAACTCATCTGAGACCCACCGGGGTGCTGTTGTGTAAAAGATGAGAGACACTGGAGCCAATAATAGAGACCAGCAGAGCCGCAGCTTGATCACCTCCCTGTCAGGTCGCATTGATGGAAGTAATTCATGCGAAAGCAACTAGGTACTGAGTGGACATATTTTTCAGTAAGCCTATATTTGTACATGAAATATATTTTTTTCTCTAAGAAACTGAAATTCGTTTTTCGTCATTAACTGCAAGCCATAATCATTAAACTAACAGAAATAAACACTTGAAATGCATGACTCTGAGGCGGCGGATTTCCCTTCTTGACTTAAATTACATTTTCAAAGATACTTGAACTTGATGAGATGCTCCTGTACAGGTTAGTGCTTCCAACTGTTGTAAAGCTCTCTTACTGAGGGTAGTTGTGAAATGAGGTATTTAATCTGCCGATCTACAGCATCATCTTTATCATTCATCAGTCTGAGTTCAACACAAAGCTACAGACCTGAGTGGCCTGGGTTGGAGGCCTATTGCTGTGAGGTGAGTGCGCTGTACATGAGGTTGTGTTGGTGAGAGATACCCGACTTCCCCTGATTGCAACAAGTTTAAACAGAATACAAAAATAAAGTTGATTCAGGTTAAATATTCTACAGCTCCTGAGGTAAAGACTCCACTGCAGGTTACTTGATTTGAGGTATGTAAAAAGAGAAAAACTGAAAAGAAAATCATTCTAAAAAAAAAACAAAATCAAAAAGACAACAAAATGGCAACAAAACAAACAAAATGTCCTAAAGTAAAACTTTTCAAGTTCAGTTGTGAATACGCCTGTCAGTGGGTTTTGGCTGAGCTGATTGTGTTTAGCATGTACACTAGGATTAACAAGTGTATGAGTGTGTAGATTGTGTATTTTGGTTTGTGTATATCTATGCATGTGATGAATTTAATGCAGAGAAGTGGGTTTATGTGATATTCTGGGGCTCTGTTTATGATTGGACAGCCAAAAGGTTGACAGGGTTGTTGAGGTATTTGTTGTGCAACAGTTTCTTATTCTTATCGGTTTCTCATTGTACTGTATATTCATGCTGGGGCCTTGCTGTGGAGCAGCGGCCTAGGGAGCGGGTACAAAGGAAAGCTCGAGTTAGGGGGAACCGCTGGGCGCCAGCTCAGCAGAGCCAGAGCCCTTCGAGGACGAGGTGGAGGAGGGTGTGGGGCTGAGGGTTTGGGCCTGGGGAGCAGAGAAGCCAAAGCTTGAGCTGGGTCCAGCAGGGGATGATGAGGCGGCACTAGCAGCAACAACAGGCCCTGGTGCCCCGCTGGACTTCTGGGCAAACAGGGTTCCTGAATAAAAGCAATAATGTCCACAGACTGCTTTTATCTCTGCCAGAGTAAAAAGTACAAATTCAAGGTTCTGATCTTTTTCATACACACCTGAGTAGATTGTGCCATTAACCTCCACAGATACAGTGATGCTGGCATTCCCATTGCTGGAGATGCTAAGAGACATATCCTGCTGCTTCTCATCTACACAAACACAGAAGCACTTATTAATCCATTATCTGTCCACAGAACATTCTTATCACTTCAATCCAAACATTTAAAAAAAAATTTTTTTAAAGTGCAGCAAATACTGCAGCAACGTTCATACTTCGTGTGTTGATGCTCAATTCTGATGTTTTGCTAAAATTTAATAATTTTTTTTTAAGTCACTTTCCACTCTACTAATTAAATGCGACTGCAATCACACTTCAGTGAGAACAAGTTACGTCTCCATCTTGACCCGCAGGCACAGAAGAATGGGCTGTTTTGATGTCACAGAAAAACCCATTGTTCACAGAAGTAATAATGGAAAGAGCCATGTTTGGCTCAATTTTAAGGTTTATTCAGTAATGAGAGCCAACGGTCAGTATCATCAAACGACAGTAACATGAAGGAAACTAATAAAAAGGAAGCACAAATAAAGCAACAACTATTTGACTGCAACTTCTTTAGAGAAGTCTGTTTGGATGTGTAGCCAGGAATGTTATACACTTCAGTGACAGAGTTTTTTGTAAGTCCATAATTATCATTTTCAGCCATTGTTTATGTGTTGGTTTACAGTATCTGTAAATCAGATGATTTCATGTCAATAACACAACAGATGGATAAAATGAGACATGCAGATGTTTTGAAAACATCTGGATATGTAATCATATTAGTATGGAAATGGCACAGATCTGATTGTTTTGGGTGAAAAGATGGGAATTAGGTTGTTCAGACTGCCGTGAAAAAGTCGGATATGGGTCACAAATGGGCAAAGAACGCGCATTTGGGTCACATTTACCTGCTGTTTGAGCATAGCCTAACAAACCAGCTTTTTAACTAATTTTGTCAATTTTTCCTCCAAATATGCTGGCAGACATTTGAGGTCAAGTCACAATGACCTTCAGGTCTTATGCTCAAAATAGATTTGTCAATGCCTGTCATACATGTGGAAGTCATTCAAATGTAATCTATTTTCGCTGACTTATTTGATTGGAGCTGGACAGCATATCAAATTGCAGTTGGTTTGGTGAAATCAGTGTGTGCAATCACGAAGAACTGCTTGGAAGGTTGGGATTTTTTTTTTCCAATCCCATGCAAGGAAATTCTACATGCCAATAATATTTTTGGCCTACAAGATATACTTTTACTGCCCTTCACTCCCACACTGTAGTTATTAGGCAACATGCTAATTCTTACATAGCATGGTGGGTGATCATGATACTAAAATAGCCGAAAGTTAGTGCTACCAGTACCGGAGGATAAAAACTGAATCTGAAATCAAATTAGAGCTGATGAAACCATGGAGCAGAAACGGAAGTTGGCTTTGAGGAAGCAAAACACCTCTTCTGAACCAACAGATTTCAGTTCCCCAGTCTATTCATATCAGTTCTGGTTTTAGACTTACAGGTCAAATTTGTTTCTAAATTGTTTTCAATTCTTCCTGTTTTTCTCTCTCTCTGACTGAAGTTCATGAGTTCCAAGCTTAAAGCTTGTTTCTTTAATCTCTTAAGAGGTTAGCAAACCACTAATGACTATTAGTTGTTTGATCAGTTTAATATTCTTGATATTAAATTTTCCAGCCATTGACTTCTTCTTTTAACTTCTATTGGCACCACATAGTGTAGAATCAGCTTTGTCAGTTTGTGTCTCTTTTTCGATTTTAAATTAAATCATAAGTAAGGAGACTGTGATTAAAAGGAAAAGTAAGTCTCAAATTTGTAAATACCTGGAATATTTAAATTTTATTTATAATAAATGTGTAATTATTTTTGATTGACAATAAATAAATTGTTTTTATATTGTTGATAGAAATGGTGTAATAGGGAGGAAATAATTAATCCTTCAAACTAATTCTTGATAGACGGTGAGATATATTAATTTATGTCAACACAGGAAAAACAAAGTCAGTATTTACATAATTTCAAATAATATTTTTATCTCTTCACAACCTTGGCAGCGCTGACCTCTGGTGGTGATGGTGGGGGCTCCCAAGCGCAGATTCATGGGCATATGGGATGCCATGGCCAGCAGGTTATGCTGGAAAGCCTGCTGCATGAGGCGCTGCTGCTCCTCTGCAAGGCGGGCCATCTTTCTCTCTGGCCCCTCACCTCCCCCACTGGTCTCCAGTTTTTCTCTGAGCTGCTCCAAGGTGGCGGCTCTCGCCAAACCAGCCACCTGCTGCTGACCCAGAGACAGCGCAAGAGGAGGTCTTGCAGCCATGATCGCAGGGGTCAGATCTTCTAAAGAAAAAAAAAAAAAAAAAAACAAGTGTACATGAAACTGTGTTTAACAATTATGTTGTAAAACTGAAACAGGAACAGAAATCAATTCAAAGTGAACAGCTGTTTTCACAAACTACCAAATAAATATATCCTGAATAAAATGATGCTTCAAATTCTTTATTTTTAGCTATTATTTTTATGCTGCTTACCATGGCTTTAAATTTTTTTAGATTGGCAGTTGCCTCATTGAATCCAGACTTTAAAGATTATGAATATAAGATAATTCTGCACTGGTTTATGTCACAGAGCCCGACAGCGATTACAGAAGCTCAAATACTCATCATACATGACCACTTAAAGTAAAGAACTTGAACAGCTCATTACTCAAGTCAAACCACAGACACTGTTAGAGGTCAACAGCGCAGTCACATTCCAACCAAGGCTAAGCCACATCAGATAAAACAACAGCATAATGACAGTTATCAGCAGGAGTCCTCTTAATGTGAAACACAAGCTTCAAAGTTCATAAAGTGGCCTCCCCTGTGTGGGAAACATGTTATTTATCATTAAATAGGAGGGGGCTACCAGCAGCCTTGGGCAGAAAAGGTTCACATGACTCCTAAACACTTGGATGGATGACATGAACTTGCTCAGTTCGTATTCAAACAGTAAAAATGTGCACACATGTTTACGGGTGATGCAGTATATAGAACAGCTGAAATGTGACAATGTTCATATATTTTGACTTAAAACAGTAGGCATAGACATTATGAATTTTATTAATTTTGGTAGTTTTATGAGCTTACAAATCCGTTCAGGAGTAGATTTTCTCACAAATTTATGTCTGGGTCAGACTCCGAAATGCTCAGAGAAATGTCAAAAACAACAACAAAAGAAATCCATCCAAGACTCTGTTGGAGTTAGTTGATATGTAAAAACTAAAGTAAAAAAAAAACTGTACAACTGGAACATAATAATAATACTAATAATAATAATAATAATAATAATAATAATGTGTGGCTTTTTATGAAAGGTTGAACAACAAAAGCACCATCTTCGACAAAAATCAAAGAGTACATAAGCAACACAGCACGGTGATTGGGAGACCATGAGCTGAGCTTGTTTTACAGTTGAGGAGCTCTACTGAATATAAAGAAAGCGATCAAGAGATTAGACCGTAATCTAGCTACTCAACAGAAAAATGATGCCAAACAGAAAATTTATATTATAATGGTGGCAGAGGTGTGATGGCCAAATTTGGCAATGCAAATGTGAAAAGATTCAAACGGCAACAAAAATGCAACAAAAATGCACCAGTATAAGAAAAGAATCAAGGTTCTTTGAAATTTTGTGAAGGACAATGTGGGTAAGATGCAGTTATCAAACACAGCGATAGAGGGCAGTATTTTTCTATCAATAAGAATCTTGGTACAAGAGAGACTTGAGCACTTTAGCCATTTTTCCACATCAAAGCAGCTAAACTCTCCCAAGTAGTAATTTACCCAACCTATAAAGTCATAATTAATTTGCATCTTCCCCTTCCATCACCATTAAAAACAGTTTGGAAGCATGTGTATAAAGTGGAAAAATCTTAAGCACTTTACTTCCAAACCTTTCCTTAAGTTTTAGAAATTCATATTACAGAAGTTGAACCAAATTTGTCTTGTTCTAGAACTTAAATAACATTATTTTGTGCAAGTTGACAGTGCTAACCTTTCTTCAGAGAGGGTCCTGGAGAAGCCTGCAGGCCATTGAGGGCGACTGAGGTCCCGGCGCCAAGGCCCGCCAGATGCATCTTGGGAGGAGAGAGGATGTGGGGAGCTGTGCTTGGAGAAGGAGAAAAGCGGAAGAGGCTGCTGCTGTAGCTTGGACGACGGCCTTCGCGTCGGTTACTGTCGATGGCGGCTTGCAGCTCACCCGGGGAGCTGAGACTTTTCCTCTCGCACTCATATGGGTACAGGTATTTCATGTACCTTCACAAGAAAATGCAAAGTTATTGTTAGGCTGAGAGAAAGCCTTCCATCAAAATCAAGCATGTGAAAAATGCACTCATGTATGTAATGTGTTTGGAGCACATATGCTTTTTTTTTTTTAAATTGTTTTGTGAACACAATTAACTTTGTTTACTCAGTATGAGAAAAATGCATTTTTCTTTACATTAACTTTTCCAAATGTATGCCTAATGAATCAGTTACTTCTAGAACAATGTTGCTGCACATTCAGGTTTTTCTTTTTCAAACATATCAGCGACAATTCTTATGGAGTGTTTCTCTATCAGCTTTGGACATCTAGAAATTGAAATGCTTTCCCTTCCCCATTTACATTTAAAGCAACCAACCATAGATTTTCAAGACTTGCAGCAGATTATTAAGTGGATTTAGCTCAGGACTTTGACTATCCCATTCTAAAAAGTGAAAATACTTTGATCTAAACCATCTTATTGTAGCTACACTCATCTCATCAAATCTAAACAACTTCCTTGTTCTAGCTGAATAAAATCATCTACAAAGCATGATGGGACTACCGACATTTAGGATAATGTGGTAAGATAATTAATTTGGACACAGAAGATCAGCATGTTTTTCTACTCTTCTTATTTGATTATCTAAATTAAACAAGATATTCAAAATATAACCAGCACAGTTTACACACTTGGTTGTCAAATTTTGAAAACTCATATTAGCTTTTTTCTTCCCCAATTCAATTCCAATGTGCACTTAAATCTGTTTCTGATGATCTGATGAAGTGTGATTTTATTTTCCAGAACATCTAAATTTATAGCAACACCTGGAACAATAATGTTTGACAGGTGGAACTGGAAACATACTTGGATCACATCACTGCAGCTCTAGATTTATGCTCCATTATGTTTTCCATCCCTCTGCTCTTGCGGCATAAGCCACAAGAGAAGCAGTTTCTATGATGTAAAGGAGGTGAGCAATGCTGTACAAGAACCTTTCAACATAAAAAAAATATAAAAAATACACCGTGCTTCTTAAAGTGTAAGAAAATAAAGAGGTGTTACTTTTACTGACGGGTGTCCATAAAAAACAGGAGGTTTAGTCTTGGCTAAAAGTGTAAGCTGTCAGTTCAACCCCACCTTAGACACTTCGTACTCTGACCCAAATGACATCGATAGATCACACAGATCAATGAGCTTTGGGTGTGATGTAATGTCAAGAAGATCCAAATAAACACAAAGACAGGAGATTATTTTCCCATATGTGTGTACAAACGCGCATTTACTTCAGCAGGGTGTAAACAGAGCTGTTACTTAGCTTTGCACACGACCATCAATTAACTGAGCCAAAGCATGGTTCCCTTTGTTGTCTGTAAAGACAGCTGCACTGATTAAAACTGGAGGAGATCTCATCTAAAAGACATGCGTCACACGTGAGCGCACCTTAATACTGCACGCATACATGGGAAAGGTGTTTGCTTCTAGTTTGAAGGTTACTCACTTGATGTTCTTAACTTAGTTCCAGCAGATGAAAGTAATTTGTTTCCTTTTCAGACAAAGACTTACTGTGTGCGCAGAGTGAAAGCAGCACTGGTGATGGATGTAGGCAGGTTGAGTCCCTTAGTGATTTCTCTCCAGATCTTTTTGTTGATAACCTCTACAAGGCCGCCTTTCTCCGTTACCAGCTTGTAGAGCATGTACAGATCCAGGACCTGCTTGGCCATGATGGGAATACGATTGACCGGGGTTCCTACAGAAAATATATAAACAAGGTACATCAATACAGTATAAATTATTAATGTGATTTAGAATATCTTGAGGAACGGTGACTGGTTTAGGGGCCGTCTAGGCTTTTTCTAAAGACAGAATGCCAGAACAAGAAGAATCCTGCCATTAGCTCATCAAACAATCAATGCTGAAACACCTAGGATTATTTTTGACCTCTAAATCCTGATCTAAGTGCTACTAGGATGATGACAAGACGAGAGTGGTGAGCTGGCTGCTTGCACATCCATTAAAATTGGCTTGAAAACAAATTAGCTCCGTTAAGGCAATCTGGCTTGACCTGGAAAAGGGGATTCACAAACAACACAAAGCAAAGCTGCTCGAGACTTTTGATACAGATGCATTAATCTTGTGAGCAGCTTATCTGCAGTGAAGCTCGCAGGGAACGTGTGCAGTGGGAAACGAGGTGGAGGCGGAGGAGGGAGGAGCACCCGTCGCTTCCCATATGTGACGGTATCAAATCAAAGTGCAATGGGCAATAGTGTAAGCATTAAATGGGAGGAGGGGACTGGGGATTGTGACAACCTAATAACCCTTAAGAACTAGTGGGGAGGAGGGGATGTGGGCTCCAGGATAGGCTGGTATAATGAAGCTCATTTAGAGGATTGTGCAGAGTAAATCCACACCCCTCTGTGCAAGTGCCGGACCCAGTGCATGGAGATGTGCAGATTTGCCTTCATGGGTAATGCCAACCAATCCTTTAGCCCCTCCTTGGATTGCTCTTAACCTGGGCTCATTAATGACTTTATAAAATAGCAGCGTGATCGGACCATACAGATTAGCCCTGATTCATTTTCTTAAGTTAGTAACATGTCTTTAAGCCATGTGAAAGAGGCCAAGGTGAGCACATGGTCCTGTGGAGTGGAGATAAGGAAAGCGATTTTAACCCTCTGAACATGCCTTAGTCAATGCCAGTGTTTGGCAGACAAGCTAATTTCTAGTTAGGAGGCATGTTGGATGCATTCAAAAAGAGTTAAAGGACTTTAATCACTCAAACACAAAAAGGAAAATGAAGGTACAAAAAAACAAAAAAGTAAATAAGTATGGAGAGTGATTGAACTTTTTTGCAAATGTTCTGAATTACGAACACAAACTTCAACATATTTTTTTTGGATCTTATATGATTTACCAATGCAATGTAGTGCTTCGCTGGGATGTAGAGAAAAACTGATGCGGTTTTCAAATTTCCCACAAAATGAACCAGGCCTAATATTCAGCCCCAAGTCAAAGTAAAAAAAATCTGCAGAAACACTTCTTACATTAAATCCAGTTCAAAGTTTTTTGGGGGAAATGACACAACTACTGTAGCTTAGCATATGTAGAGGCTAAGCTCAGTCACATTTAAAAGAGAGCATCTATGAAGATTAGATTTAAGTTATTGCTAAATTAATTATGGACTTTGTGGCACAGGTCCATACAAAAAGGTGAATGTCCAATCCTGTCTCATAAGTTTTCTTGCAGTATCACAATGCATGTTTTATTGTGGGGATGTTTTGTTTAGGGTGGTAGGCAGCATTAATGTTTGATGAAATGTTTTGCATGCAGTCCAGAAGTTTCAAATTTGTTCTCATCTGACCAAAGCACCTTCTTCTACATGTTTGCAAAAGAAACCATGAACCTTTTATCAGTTTCTCTGATTAACAATCTTCTTGCCTGACCTGTCAGTTTAATTGGGCATGAATGTCTAATGACTTTTTCCCCATTTTTAGATGGTGGATTGACCCTAACCGCATCATAATCTTCTTCGCAGTGTTCTCCATGACCGGTCTGCTGTGTTCTTTAGTCTCAAAGGTTGTGCAAGTGCACACCACACTTTTCAGATTTTTATTTCTAAAATCCTTTGAAACTATGCCTCTTTTTTTCTGCTACTTCCTGTTGGTCTGTTGCATTACACTCCAATAAAATATAATGAAGTTTGTGGTAATTTCTTTATCCAAATAAATACCACTTAAATTGAACAATCAGAGAAATATAGTTAGAGAAACACAGTAATCAAATGGGATGTTGCTTATATTCAGAACATTTCTTATTGTTTAATAACAACAAGTTGGTTTTTAATTAAGAAAAATAACTTAAAACTATTTTAAGCTATTATATGAATATGCCAATATAGTATCGTTATTAGTTAGTGAATTAAATTTGATAAAGTTCAGCAGCAAAATAATAGTTAGAAATCAAATAATATTTAGAAACTGTGTTAATGTGGAATCAACTTCACAATAAATCTTTTAATCTGTTAATGCCACCTTCTTTTGAACAATTTTAAACCAGTGGCCAAGGAAGCGAGACAGATGACACAAATAGAAAGAACTACAACCACTTTTTGCTTCTGGGAACACACAAAATTTCCAGAACAAACCCAGCTTCAAGCTGCAAGTGCTTTGTCAGTTATCTAACGCAGCGTTGGACATCAATCCTGCATTAAACAATTAGTACAACTACAGGGGTCAGAGATCAGCCAGGGGTTATTGATGTGTGAATTAAACTGCAGGTCAGCAGGAAGCCATGTTTCCATACTGGCCCGCTCGCGAACAATGACAGAACAACAAATGAGACACAGGAGCGCTGGCCCCAGTGTGACAGGCCAGCAGTTAGTTAGCTTTTAATTCACGTCCGTGCCTTTGTCACCATCTGCTGTCAAATCAAAATCTGATTCTGTGTAGTGGCTGCAACCATAGAAAAACTCAAAATGTAAAATGTGTCATATTTTATGCAAAGCAGAGCAAAGCTTGCAGTGTGAATATGATCATATTTATATCTAACATGGTTTCAGTTTCATATTTCAAATTCTGATTACCCCACATGAAAGGCCTGAGGAAACCAGTTACACTAATATCATAATTCAACAAAAATCACATTCATAACACTCGGTCAATTAGGGAGAGACTTCTCTTATTTGAAAGAGTCAGCACATAGCCTGGCTTTGCTGTTCAACATCTGCTGTTTCTAACCGTGGAGACATTCAGCTCTAATTAGAGCAGCCCAAAACATGTCTTTCGATCAGTAAAACACACCACTTCTGCCCCATATCTACTCTAAATGGCAGTTTTTATTCACACATAGAACTTTTTGCTAAATGCTGTTGAGAAAGCCAGAGATACAATATGATCATCGAGGCTTATGGAAGGCAAACTGCTGGATATTTCATCTCTCTGTGAAGCACTGATTTGACCAGCCGCTTGCTATGAGCCAATCTGTAATTGGCTGCAGGCCTCACCTCCCATCATCCTTTGCCCTGGACTGATTTTCCCCCAGGGACAGGACCATCAGGAGCCTAGTGATTAATGGCACCAGAGGTTAGAGGTCGCTCTGGTGGGAAGTGCTGAGGCTGAGGGCCCCTGAACCACTCCCTAAGTCCTTCCTCAAATGTCCACAGTGAGCACCAGAGCCACACGGCTGATCTTCAAAAGGCTGGCCTTCAGGAAGAAAGTAGGCAGCAGCCCCTTTGAAGGATTCATATTTGGAAGTGTGTGGGTGTGAGAATGATCAATACCTTCACCCTAAGATGCATGCCTGCAAACTGCATTATATAATGAATTTGTCTCTGAAAATCTCAAAGTAAAACATGTAACCAGACGTAAACCCATTCTGTCAATCAGAAAATGAAGCGAATTATCAGTCCACAAAAAAACAAAACAAAAGAGCTGCTAGTTAGTTAACCCATCAAAAACAAGGTCATTTCATCTGACCCTTACCCAATTTTTAGCTGCAAACAGCTGTTCACATTAAAATGAACTCTGTAATAAATCAATTGGGTGCCCCTGACGCCAGTGGTGGTAAATTAAATATTGCTGAATTCCTTTGATGGGCATTCTTTAAATAATTATGAGACGAGGCGACAGCCGTACAGCGGCCAACACACAGGAAATGAATTTTTTACTGAATGAGAGTGCTGACCGGTGTGAGGTTTCACTGCCATCTACTGTGAAGGGCGAAAAAAAAAGTGTAGAAAGCAAAACAAATTATCCCTTGCTGCTTTCTCATTCAGAGATTCAATATTTTTTATTTCATAATCAAGACAAAAATCTTACAAAAGAATCATAGCAATAGATATGAGACATAATGGGAAAAAATGGGGTAAAATGTGTCCCTTTGCTGCCTTTATAAGGAGAAGAAGGACAGATGAAGGAAAAGGAAGGGGGAGGAGTAGTAGTTAGCCAGCTGGAGAAAGACTGGATTATGGTTGTAAGGAAGGTGTCAACCAACACAAACAGCCCCTGGCCTCATGGCAGCGTCTGAGTCTTTAAGAGTACCCACACCCCACCACCCATCCACACCTTCCTCCTCGTTATTCCCAATCACGACAATAACAAGTAGATCAAACCCAACTGTAATTATATCAACATTCACATTCTTTTACAAATCCAACTTATGAAAAAAGGTTTGAAGCTTGCAACATTTTCTTTTTTTTTAAATTGTGTCAGACACTGGAATTGATTGTATGACAGCAGAAACAACCAATAAAGTCACTGCTGTTATTTTAAACCACATTACAGTCAAGACATTCTCGATACACATTTAAAAAGGTATTTACAATCATGATATTTTGAAACCAGTAAACAAAAAACAAATTAAAAGTATGAAATATGACTACGGGTTATAGATGTTTTTCTTGTCAGAGCAAATCAGACATGTTTCTCTTCACTCACCAACAACAGTCTGTTTGTTGGAAACCCTTTTCCCCCCATAATTATGAAACAACTAGAGCACCGAGAGAATGTTTGACTGCAGATGCAATCTGAGGATTTGAGCTCCCAACCACTACATCTGTAGGATTAGCTGGAAGAGATTTTTCTTTAGAAACAAATGGTATGCCTGTAAACTGGCCTACAGAGTTTGAATGTTATAAAAGTTGACCTTGGAACAGTTTTTAACAGCTACGTAACAACACTGCAGTTAAGTTCACACACTGATTATGTGGAGGAAAACAAGACTTTCACAATCACCTCACTGCTTTTTCTTGGA